TGCCAATGGGGCGACAGAGGACAATCGACCTCGAAATTTTCAGGTACTAAGTGGCAAGCTTTGGAGTATAACACAAAATATTGTCTTAATTTTGTACTTATCGGCCTAATAATTTAAAGAATTATATATCAGAAAATCATTTCTTAAGCGGTACCGTCGTCAAATCAGTAGAAATGCTTTAAATTGAATGAATTCTTACCTTGTTTCTTTTTTTTTCCATTTCTCTCCGCTTCGTTAGTACCCAATTTCCGGTGGCGATGATACACAGTGAAGGAAGACCAGTAAAAATATTTGTTAATGTTGCATCTTTTTTTTTTTACAAAAAAATCCATATGAAAGATTTGACACCATATTTTAAATTCTATTATAAAATAGATTAAGTTAGCACTATGGTAAATTTAAATGGGTAATTATGGTTGCAAATTCCATTGGAAATTTGAATTGAGATTATGACCATATCTTGAGGGAAAGAATTTTTTGGGGGGGGGAGGGGTAAAAAGAAATTGTGGGGGTCAATTTTTTCTCATTTCAGATTTCAGAAATTAAAAAGAATTATTCTTCAAATATTTTTTTTTTTTCAAATTTCAAATATTGAAAAATTTCAAGAAGTAATCTTTAATTGCACAGTATGGCTCATTAGATTTGTAAAATCTTTGACCACATTTATTTATTTGTTATGCCAAATCTGACCGTGTATTTAGATTTTTAATTTTGGGTCCAGTTTTCAAATTGGTCTACATTAAGGTCCAAAGGGTCCAAAATGAAACTTAGTTTGATTTTAACAAAAATTGAATGTATGGGGTTCTTTGATATGCTGAATCTAAACATGTATTTAAATTTTTGATTACGGGCCCAGTTTTCAAGATGGTCCAAATTGGGGTCCAAAATTAAACTTTGTTTGATTTCAACAAAAATTGAATATATGGGGTCTTTTGATATGCTGAATCTAACCATGTATTTAGATTTTTTATTTGTGGGCCCCGCTATCAAATTGGTTCATATTGAGTTCAAAAGGGTCCCAAATTAAACTTGTTTTATTTCATCAAAAATTGAATTATTGGGGTTCTTTGATATGCCAAATCTAACCGTGTATTTAGATTTTTAATTTTGGGTCCCGTTTTTTAAATTGGTCTACATTAAGGTCCAAAGGGTCCAAAATTAAACTTAGTTTGATTTTAACAAAAATTGAATTCTTGGGGTTCTTTGATAAGCTGAATCTAAACCTGTGTTTAGATTTTTGATTATGGGCTAAGTTTTCAAGTTGGTCCAAGTTGGCTCCCATCTCAATGATGTCTAGTTTACTATGTAATACGCATGCGTGAAATTGTCTTCAGCAGATTAGACACTTAATTCGGAAAATGCAAAATGTTTTCATGCCAAATTAAACGAGTGCAACTATTATCTGTTATATTCATACACTTTTAAAAGTAATCAAATTAAAAAGCCGGTGATTTCCTGTCAATTTGATAAACAAAAAGAATCCCGGAAATGAATCTGGAATTACTAGTACTTTAAGTATTGTTGCAAAACTTCCTGTTTTGATTTCATCTTCAAAATCGAAAGAAACGTTAGCGATGTCTGAGAAATTAACCATTTTGAGTCATTAAAATCATTTCAATTTTAAACTGTTGCCTTCCCTAAACTGTTCTTGAACGTTTTTAGAAAAATGGTAAGAAAATTCACAAAGTACATGCGATGAAACAGTCAATACAAGTTCGTTGATGCTTTGAAACTAGTGTTATATCAACAATTTGAAAAAAAGCCACCAACTTTTTATACGCCCGTTTACGGGACGTATTATGGTATACCATGGTCCGTCTGTCCGTCCGTCCGTCGGACATTAACTCAAAAACGCTTAAACCAATTTGCATAAAATTTTGGTGAATTGTTTATATCTATTGACGTGAGCTCCCTTTCATTTTTTATAAATTTTAGATTTTACGTTTCCGAGTTATGGGGTTTTATTCATTAAAAAAAGGGGGGTTTTCCAGTTTTTGGACAATAACTCAAGAATGCTTTCACCAAATTGCAAGAAATTTTGGTTAATTGTTTATATCTATTGACATGAGCTCCCTTTTGATTTTTATAAATTTTAGATTTTACGTTTCCAAGTTACAGGGTTTTATTCATAAAAAAAAGGGGGATTTTCCAGTTTTCGGATAATAACTCAAAAATGCTTTCAGCAGTTCTCATGAAACTTTGATGAATTGTTGATATCTATTGATGTAAGCTCCCTTTAGAATTTTATAAATTTTAGATTTTACATTTCCGAGTTATGGGGTTTTATTCATTAAAAAAGGGGGGATTTTCCAGTTTTCAGACAATAACTCAAAAATGCTTTCAGCAATTCTCATGAAACTTTGGTGAATTATTTATAGCTATTGATGTAATCTCCCTATTGATTTTCATAAATTTCAAATATGACATTGAGAAGAAATGAACTTTATTTGTTTATAGTCTGACAACAGATTTACTAAGTATTGCACAACAGCATAGTGTATTGCACAACAGCAAGAAATCTTATAACCAATTTCAAGTTCTTTGACTACATTTATTCAGAAACCTATAATATGTCAAATATTTAATTACAATCCAAATTCAGACCTGTATCAAGCTTGAATATTGTGTCCATTTTTGCCCCAACTGTTCAGGGTTGGACCTCTGCGGGCGTATCCAGCTGCGCTCAGCGAAGCAGTTTATTAGCTTTTATCGTTGTTGAGTTGTAGACCTTTAAGTAGCGAAAAGTGATACTTAGAGCATTGTCCATGCAATAACTTGAAAATGCATTAAAGAAATCTTTTCAAATCTAGATATGTTGTTTCTTGTACATGTGACTAATGATAGTCTAGTTCAATTTTCACTTTTATCGTTGTTGAGTTGTAGACCTTTAAGTAGCGAAAAGTGATACTAGATTGATTTTGGCCTTTCCATTTCTGAACTCATCAAAAATTCATTTATTTTTTTTACTTGATCCTGTTTAGTGTCCAGATTTAATATGCAAACATCATTTTCATGCAGGATAATCTGGTTTGCTGTCAATCTGACAGCCTCTTGTTTTTTACCTACCTTTCAGTTTTCTTGTTTTTAAGCAATTTTCATGAGAAATTTGTATGTTAGCCTTTGTATAATTTTCGAGTTATCTACATAAAGGAAAGTGAGAGCCTTCTCATTTTACAGTTTAAGTGTTACTGTTGGTGTTTCTAAAATATCTTTAGTGAAATCTACATGTTTTGACATTAATATACAGAATATACTGTAATCTCATTCTTTCTATTATTTAATTGAATCCTTCTTGCCAATTCTGTGATTAATTGTTTGTTTATTTGTCTGTCAATGTGGTATAAAATCAACAAAATCACTGTTAGATGGCATGTATAAAAAAAACTGTTACAAATTACGTGGGTGCGCAGATGAAGGCCAATAGTTATTACATAACTCCCTACCCGTACATTGTACACTTACAGTTTGAGGCTCGAGTCACTCAATTTTCTGATAGTCAATCATTTTGGTATTCCTAAGAAACTTTATTTCATCCACAAATTACATTAAACATGACAAAATTGCATTATTAAAACAAAGTAGCATTCAATTTAAACTAATAAGTGAATGTCAATACGAACAAATGGAAAGTAATAAGCCTTTTATCCTGATAATGAAGTAAGAGAAAAGAAACAAGTTCTCTTGATATAAAGGTCTGCCCTGTAAGGTCTTTTGGTAATTTTTTTTTTATCATTTTCCCTTATCTTGTTTTGGTACTGAAATTGTTGTCACACTTAAATGAATATTGAATAGATTCCAAATCGGAGTATTCAATTTAAAATTGGATTCTACTAATGCATTTCCAATGTTGACATCTATTTTGCTGACTTTGTTACATTTTTCAGGCTTTCAGTGCTCAGGAAAAGATTAAAAACAATGGATTTCGCACCAAATCCTTAATAGTAGATTAAACATTTTATGCTTAAATCTGTACTGGACATGAACAGGTTGGGTCACCTAACACACAACATTTTCTTTTGGCCTAAAATCTGCAGATTTTGTTTTTTGATTTGAATTCTGCTGTCAGCAGTTCCTGTAGAATTTTCCTAATTACATAATTTTCATTGCTGTTGCATGGGAATGATGTCTGAACTGACTTTAGATTAAAATCATAAAACAGTTTTGTGAATCTACTTTAACAAGAAGATACATGAGACATTGTAATTGTTATTGCATGTATATTATACGTTTTTTAATTGAAATGCATTCCAACAGTAAATTAGAAATACTCAATGAAGCAATTATCAAGCCATTCTAAATGTTTTACTGAAAATCACTTCATTTTAGAGTCAGCACTATGTTATATAACTAAGTCATATGTGTGTATGAAAGATAAGTGTCTTCAAATCTTCTGCATTAAAACAGTTTCAACAAACATGTTATTATATGATAACTGTACAGAACTATCCCATTACTGCAGTAGATAATTATTGTGCTTATAAGTTGTATATTCATGTTAGATAATAAAAGATTTGACTACCCTAATCTCTATATTGATGTCTATAAGTAGTATTTGGTTTTTCATTTTCTATAGAAGGAGTTTACTATGTTATAATGAATGAATTATGAATCATACTCATCAGCGCAGGAACGAAAATTCAAGAAGACGTTTCTTTGAAAAGGTTTTAAAGAAAAATATAATTTTTTGAAATAATATTTTGGTACTCTTGAGACATACATTGCTTCATGAGATCTTCATACAGCAGGATACACAAAGGTGGTAATAGACCTTTTTATGATAAATTTCAAAGTATACCCTGTAAAAAATTGACCCAGGAAAGAAAGCAGCATTTTCCCATCAAATTCTGAGTAACTTTAACTAAGGTGTTTTTCACAGTTAAAGGTTAATTTACTGCACAGATGTCCTTACAGGGAATGAATACTCCTTAATAATTAGGTTGTGTTATAATAAGAAATAAACTTATTAGACAATTTGATGATGAAATGTTATTGTTTTGTAGCTTATATTACAAGCATAGACATGATAGATTTACTAAAACAAGAGAAGATACACAGGAGACACGACAGAAAACATGAATATCGGATACAGGTTTGTTTGTTTACTTAAGTGACGGTGTCAGAAACATGAATATCGGATACAGGTTTGTTTGTTTACCTAAGTGACGGTGTCAGAAACATGAATATCGGATACAGGTTTGTTTGTTTACCTAAGTGACGGTGTCAGAAACATGAATATCGGATACAGGTTTGTTTGTTTACTTAAGTGATGGTGTCAGAAACATGAATATCGGATACAGGTTTGTTTGTTTACTTAAGTGACGGTGTCAGAAACATGAATATTGGATACAGGTTTGTTTGTTTACTTTAGTGACCATGTCAGAAACATGAATGTCGGATACTTGTTTGTTTGTTTACTTAAGTGACGGTGTCAGAAACATGAATATCAGATACAGGTTTGTTTGTTTATTTAAGTGATGGTGTCAGAAACATGAATATTGGATACAGGTTTGTTTGTTTACTTAAGTGACGGTGTCAGAAACATGAATATTGGATACAGGTTTGTTTGTTTACTTTAGTGACCATGTCAGAATCATGAATGTCGGATACTTGTTTGTTTGTTTACTTAAGTAACGGTGTCAGAAACATGAATATCAGATACAGGTTTGTTTGTTTATTTAAGTGACGGTGTCAGAAACATGAATATTGAATACAGGTTTGTTTGTTTACTTAAGTGACGGTGTCAGAAACATGAATATTGGATACAAGTTTGTTTGTTTACTTTAGTGACCATGTCAGAAACATGAATGTCTGATACTTGTTTGTTTGTTTACTTAAGTGATGGTGTCAGAAACATGAATATTGGATACAGGTTTGTTTGTTTACTTTAGTGACCATGTCAGAAACATGAATGTCGGATACTTGTTTGTTTGTTTACTTAAGTGACGGTGTCAGAAACATGAATATCAGATACAGGTTTGTTTGTTTATTTAAGTGACGGTGTCAGAAACATGAATATTGGATACAGGTTTGTTTGTTTACTTAAGTGACGGTGTCAGAAACATGAATATTGGATACAAGTTTGTTTGTTTACTTTAGTGACCATGTCAGAAACATGAATGTCGGATACTTGTATGTTTGTTTACTTAAGTGATGGTGTCAGAAACATGAATATCGGATACAGGTTTGTTTGTTTACTTAAGTGATGGTGTCAGAAACATGAATATCGGATACAGGTTTGTTTGTTTACTTAAGTGACGGTGTCAGAAACATGAATATTGGATACAGGTTTGTTTGTTTACTTTAGTGACCATGTCAGAAACATGAATGTCGGATACTTGTTTGTTTGTTTACTTAAGTGATGGTGTCAGAAACATGAATATCGGATACAGGTTTGTTTGTTTACTTAAGTGATGGTGTCAGAAACATGAATATCGGATACAGGTTTGTTTGTTTACATTGTACTTAAAAATACACAAAGATATGTGTCTAATAGTTGCTGATAATGACAAAATGTGTAAGACAGATGCCATGACAAACCAGTATAAACCTTCCTTTGGAACAGGAGTATATAAAAGATGAACAGTTTTAAAAAAAAACCTGCTTTTTTACTGAATGATAAAGGTCAACAGTTTTCACAACTATTCATTGAACATTTAACATTTCATGTTTTTGTTATTTAACAGGTTTCTTGGTCTAATAATGAAAAAACAGAAGTCAACAAAACATATCAAGAATTACGAGAATTTCATCAAAAGGTAAAAATATGACATAGATTTGGACATATCACTTCCATCAGTATTATCAGTTCATGCCTCACATATCCTTGATTTGGACATATCACTTCCATCTGTGTTATCATTTCATGCCTCAGAAATCCTTGATTTGGACATATCACTTTCATCAGTATTATCAGTTCATGCTTCACAAATCCTTGATTTGGACATATCACTTCCATCAGTATTATCAGTTCATGCCTCACAAATCCTTGATTTGGACATATCATTTCCATCAGTATTATCGGTTCATGCCTCAGAAATCCTTGATTTGGACATACATGTATCACTTCCGTCAGTATTATCAGTTCATGCCTCACAAATCCTTGATTTGGACATATCACTTCCATCAGTGTTATCAGTTCATGCCTCAGAAATCCTTGATTTGGACATATCACTTTCATCAGTATTATCAGTTCATGCTTCACAAATCCTTGATTTGGACATATCACTTCCATCAGTATTATCAGTTCATGCCTCACAAATCCTTGATTTGGACATATCACTTCCATCAGTATTATCAGTCCATGCCTCAGCAATCCTTGACTTGGACATATCACTTCCATCAGTATTATCAGTTCATGCTTCACAAATCCTTGATTTGGATATATCACTTCCATCAGTATTATCAGTTCATGCCTCAGCAATCCTTGACTTGGACATATCACTTACATCAGTATTATCAGTTCATGCCTCAGAAATCCTTGATTTGGACATATCACTTCCATCATTATTATCAGTTCATGCCTCAGAAATCCTTGATTTGGACATATCACTTCCATCAGTATTCTCAGTTCATGCCTCAGAAATCCTTGATTTGGACATATCACTTCCATCAGTATTATCAGTTCATGCTTCACAAATCCTTGATTTGGACATATCACTTCCATCAGTATTATCAGTTCATGCTTCACAAATCCTTGATTTGGACATATCACTTCCATCAGTATTATCAGTTCATGCCTCACAAATCCTAGATTTGATTGGCGCTCTCTATGAGAAATATCCGATCACTAGGCAACTCAATTTTATTAAGATTGTTTAAGCTTGGATTAATTTTGAATGATTGATTTTTCTGTAGGCTATGCATCAAGGGTTCTGATATGGTCATATTTTCCAGTCAAAGATAACCATCTCAGGATAAAAATAAAGATAAAAATTCTTCTCAGGCTGAGGTAGAAAGTAAAACAAATTAATAACATAGAAGGCAGCATTATTGACAGACTTCCACTTTATTAAGAGTGTATCCACATTAGGTTTTACTGTATCCACTAATGCCATTATAGATTCATGAAACTTAAAAAACAAAAAACCTGCTAGAATCTGACTAAATAAAAATGTAAAGGTATATTAAAGGGAATTTTAAGGGGAATTCAGAAATTTGTTATTCCGGTAGACAATACACAAAAGAGACAAATCAAAAGTTAATAGATACATGTACGTGATATATCCTGTACTGATTGCTCTGGAAGGGTAATCACATGTAAACAGGCATGATGTTCTTCAGTCTTAAAATTGTTTCCTGTTTTATCTAAACAAAATGAATAAATTTTAGAATGTTCTGGATTAAGTGTAACTAGCATGAAAATTGTTTCATTACAGGACTACTAACCCTATTACAGTTTTCAGACACGATTTAAGTTTCTTTTTCAGACAAACCAAAATTATGATAATGTAATTTTTTGATGGAATCACATGTTACATGTTAGTTCTTTTGTGGTAAATTCTGGTGTGTTTATTACAGATGCATCAGCAGTTTCCTGATGAGGAGAACATTAAACATGATGGGGTCTCATTTTACTTAGGTTTGTATTCCTATAAATAGAATTCCTGTCGGTATTGATCTTAACTATGTTCCCAGAAAGATCAGCTGGTCTCCTGCTCTACTGCATTTAGTCTTGTAGTTGAATGTCTAATTTGTGATTTTAAAATAATTAAAAAAAACAATAGGGGCTTAATTAGCTTTTAAGGTCGTATCATTAATTCTTGCAATTACACATAAAATGCACCTAAAATAATGTATCATAATTCATGAAATTAAACTAAAGTAAAGCTCAAAAGTTTTAACAGAATTCACAATTATTTTGATGACTTAAGATCAGAATATGTAATTAAAATATGTATATTATTTATCTTATCAGGAAGTCCACAGAAAGATGATGGCCATGATAAAGGACATCAGCAAGTAACTTCATTTGTAAGGTAAGAACTGATTGATGTAGGGTAGGTTACCAGTGACAAGAAAGAGATATTCAGCTATATATATATATAAATAAGGAGATGTGGTATGAACTATCTACCAAAGACCAAAGGATGTGTATGTAAACAACTATATGGCACTATTCAGCCTTCACCAATGACCAAACCAAATGCTGACAGCAAGCTTTTATCTCACATGCAAACAACCCAAAACTGTAACTGATAACTAAATAAAACAGTACAAAAAGCAAGTTATGTTCTGACATGTACTTTAATTCTTAGACTGTTTTGCAATAAGCCTGCAAGAGTTACACTAGTGGACAGCAGATTTCAGTTTATTTAACAGAAAAATTTGTTCAATGTCCTTGTAAATAATTGTGCAACAGTTGCCTAATTTGTTTAGATTCAGCCTAAAAGACTGCCTTCTTAGTTTATTTTTCTGCTTTGCCAACATATTATCACTTTACTCCCTTTTAAGATTTATGTAGTTTGAATGCCAAAGAACCAATGTTATGGATACCTGTACATATGTTTAATGGAAGTTTGCACATTTAATGCAGTCAGTTTTAAAATCAGCAGAGATCTCAGCTACAGAAGGCTTTTTGTTCTTAAAAACTTATATTTATGTTGGATGAGAAAGAAAAATGAAAATTCCCATGTCATCTTTAAGAATTTTATGAGTCTACAAAACCTACATATTGATAAGTTCAGTTCATATGCTGACAGCCTGACAGAGATGGTATCATATGTAATATTTGGATTAACTTGGGTGACAAATAAACCTGCATTTTGAAAATACTTTTCTGCAGAAAATCATATATTACATAATTTGAATTGCATGTTTTGAACAAAAAATATTTAAGAAATGTTATGTAACAGTTGCTTATATTTTATTTGAAAATATCTGAATATTATGCAATACCAAAAGGCAATTTAATATAGTTCATTTAATTGTCTGAATAAAGAAAAACCATTCAAAAACGTGATTGAAAATGGATGAAATATCTGTCTTTGTGAAATAGCTGATCTATCGACTTCTGAGAATAAAATATAAAACCCGAAGTATGTAACAAAAGGGAATGAGAGAATATTGATATGGTTATACTTTATTGAACTTAAGAAGTTTTAGGAAAATAAATAAATTTACTTCCAAATAATGAATATTTGCATACATTGTATCATAGATAAGTTTTGATCAGATTAATATACCTAATAAGTGCTATGGGGATTAATAAGTTTCCTCCTAGTATTCAGTCATCCTTTGGGATAGTATGCTGATTGTTGGTATTAAAATTGAAGATATTGGAAGTGTCATGAAATATTTAAATTTTTTTCTGGTTGAATATTTAATTTCTATACCCATTGGTCTTTGAAAATTTAAAGCAAATATTAGTTTTCTATCTTCAACATAGATATGTTTGTTTCTTTTTTGAGAGATTGTGTAATGAGTAGGATGATATCTTATACAAACATCAGTATGTTTGGCCTTTATTTGATCTCATTACTCATTTGATTTATGCTAGTTACAGGGAACCTATATAAAAATAAGAAGATATGATATGATTGCCATTGAGACAACTCTCCATTAGAATATTAGATGCGGATGGCTCTCTCACAACCATTAACTGTATAAGATAATGGCAACATCTTAATAAAATTTCAGAAGGAGATTGTTTTGGTGCAGACAAGTCAGCAGTCTTATTGTGCAAACACAATAGAAGTTATTTAACTTACAGTAAATTCTGATAATTTAGCCATGTTTTTATTTTTGCAAAAATTGTGATGGATTAGTTTTGTTTCTTTCTACGCATAGACCTATCTGTTTTTGAAAGTGCTCTCAAGTCTCACGGCTACATTTCTTGTAAGATTTATGAAAATTATATAGAAAGTTTCTATAAGAAATATCTTGTAAAAGTTCGGAAATCAATGCTGATAGCAAGGCTTTCTTAAGAGACGGTCATTTTAACATAATTCGCGATCTTTTTGACCCAACCTTTTGCCTTAAACAGCCACACATTTCCGGTCATAAAAATGACATGATCATTAAGTACTATCAAAACAACCCCTACTTTAATACCTTCTCATTTTAATCAAGGCTAATTAGTTGTCGAACAGCTGAAATTTACCTGTTCAGGTGACAGGTAAACTATTTTGAACCGGACATTGATCGGTCTATTCAAAGTTATTTTCTTACATTTCACAGGTTTGCATCTAATTAATTTAGTCAAAAAGATTTAAATTATCAGAAATACATTAACAAATAAGATTTGATGAAAAAATTAAAGAGGTGAAAATGAAAAATCGTCATAACCACGTTGTTTGAACCAGAGACATGTCTCTATTTGAAATAGTACACGTGTGCGCATGTGCATGTGCGCAGGTGTGAAATTTAATTATGCATCCTAATTTCTTTAAAAAATGCTTAAATTGTCATTGATAACCTTTATCTCACGTTTATTTCGAATATTTTCTTGAAGAAATAACGTAGAATGAGCTACTTACACTCATTCATGCTTTGCAAAAGTACACAGAATTGACGTATCCGTCTCTGGTCCATGTTTTACCATTGTCAAGATAACATCCGGTTTCAGATTTAAAAACGAAAGTAAAGTTTTTGACGACGTTATTTTGAACAAATAAAGAGTCTTAAGGCAGATATAAGTACGCTGATGTTGCACACTTAGGATGATGCACTGCCAATTTAACAGTTTACGTCAGAATTTCGAATTTGAATCAAAGAAAGTTTAATATCCTTTTTTTTAAAATATCAATCATTGGGATGGCCAACTCGGCAACTGATTACCATAATTGCCTTTTGTTTATTTAGTCTTAAAAGATTAAAATCTGGATAATATATAAAATGTCCGGCTGGCTAAAAATAATTTTGGAAGCCCTGGCTGATAGACTATTTTCATGTGGAAAATGGCCCCTGATAATATAGAATTAATGGAGTTACCGCCCCTGAAACAGATAAAATTATTTACTGAGACAGAGGGTGGCTCTTCTTTTATTTTTCATTAAGAATGATGAGAATGGGAATGGGGATGGGGATGAGGGAAATTATCTGTTTTACCTGTAAACAAGAGTTACTGGACTTGATCCTATAAAAAAAAAACCATTTTGACATTGTTGGCAGATTGGCTATTTTTATGTACAACTTTTTATTTTAATTGTTGTTAAATGGTGTATTTTTACTTTGTAGTTACTTATCCAACTTACCAAAACATGTCAGGGAATCAGACCATTTCATACAGTTCTTCAAGGGAAACAACTTTCAAAATAACCCACCACTACCTGAACAATCAGCGTTACCTGACATTCCACCTGCTAGTGATGGTAATACAGAAGGTAAATAGCTATATTAATGTAATCTTAAAGTTCCTCAGTCTGTTAGGGGGCTTTTATAATCGTTAATTATATTGGGAAAATCAAATTTGTGTCTGAAAGATGCATTATAGCTATTGTATATTTCAGTTGTTTATTGATTGGCACCTTTGTTTAACAAAAAAAGTTAGAGCACTGAAATAAAATGGTCTGCTATTTCTTTTCTTTCCTTAAAGATGAATCAATACAATTCCATCTAAGCTTATTTCTTTAAATTAATTGCTACAAGATTGATTCAGGGCTTAGAAACGCCAAAACAGGAGAAGAAAAGTACTTTATAAAGAAATGGGAGAATAGAGAATAATTTGTTTGATTTATCAGAAGATAAAACAGTAACAATTCCTGGTGTGCATTGTTTGATTCTGTTAAATGTGCTTCCTGATGTGTATTTATTTCTGGAGTAATCATCATCCATATACTTTATTTAAAACCTTATTTCGAGCTGTTCATTTTCTGATAATGATTATGTTCATCATTGATTTAAACTTTTATTTATTTAAAAAATTACAAAAAATGCTATTATTTTTATTTGAAACTACAAACAAGGACATAGTCACATAAATTAACGATCACAATATAAATTAATGTTGTGCCAAATCTGTTTAGATGTGGAATCAATGTTTACTACACCTTACACACCAACGCAGTCTTTCACTGTATACAACTCTAATTTTCCTCAAGGTAGGAAGATTTTTCATTACTGTGGTGTGTCACTGCTTGACATTGTACGGCTTGAGTGTTTACCACATGCCTACAAGTGTGTAGTATTTATCATCTCTCTAGGATTGTATATGCCATTTGAAAATTGTTTACACAAATATTAATTGACATATTCAATGCTATCTTAGATCAGTATACTAATTACAATTCTTTAATTTGATAAGGGAGGCTCAGTGTGTAATGCATGAAGAGTTTTGGGGCTATTTTTTATAAGAACTATAAGATAATGTACATTTAAGTTTTTTTTATATTCCTGTTACTGCATTTATTTGAACAGATCAGATCAGTTTTCAACCATTTTTTTCGAAAGGTCTATTAGAGAAAAAACAATAGGGGGGTTGGAAGGCACTTTTTTATGGCCATCACCCATACAATTGCATTTTACTTTGCATATATAACCACACAATTTGAACTAAGAGATGTGCCCCCACCCATACAAATTTTTTTTAAAGTGCCTTCCAACCCCCCATATATTTTTCCTGGAATAGCCTAAACTGTTTTTATGATTTAAAAAGAGATAATCTCCAAAGCAAAATTATTTTATTATTAATTATTTAAGATATTTTTATTTTCTTTTTTAAGTATTTTACTGATAGATGGACTTAGTTTTTTTCAGTAAACATTTATAGACAGTCTGGTATTATAATTTTTTACCATGTAAACCATCATGGATTGTAGTTAAACTTGGGACAGTTGCTAATCTTAATGATCAAGAATCACATCTAAAAAAGGAAATTGATTTAAAATATTCTTTATTTTACTAACTGTTTACAGTCAACATTACAATTTTACACTGACAGCAGGCAAGACACAGAGTTCTGCAAACACTCTACAAATTTTCATTTAAAAGACACTGTCTTGTGCAGAGCAATAAAATATCAATGATTTAAAAGACAATAGTTTCATTTTGAATCAATAATTTTAAAGACCTTGCTCAAGTCTTACATTGCTTGCCTTTTTGAATGACTATCACTACCAAATATTACATCTTGGTTCACTCTTCTTGCTTCCCTAATGACTGTTTCATTTTTATGTGCATGAAGTCATAGTTTATTACTGAACGATGGTTGTGGGATCAGTTAAGAAAGGCCTAAGATTTATCACCAATAATTAAAAAGACAATGATTTAAGGTTTGAAAAGCAATAATAACATATTCAGTTTAATGATTTCAACAACACATAGCTGAGAGGGTTTTAGAGCAGATTTTTACCCCTTGAAAAACTATTGTCAACTTTGACTTATGTTGTTTAGGGGTTACAATCTGCTCTATATCCCTCTCAACCAAGTATTATTTATATTATAATAACTCACTAACCATTTCTTAAAAAGAATAATACTCTTTTACATAGTCTTTGAAGCAAAACATGATCATGTTAAATTAATGAAGTAATAAGTTCTCAGCAAATTTCTATCCCTGATTCTTTAAAAACACTTTAAAAATTGAATAAGAGGGTGAAATCATCTTCATTCAAATCAATTTTTTTTGGTTAGAAACCCATCACATTTGTTCCTTTTGTCACCTTAATATATATGTAGAATTTTGTCACATTTGCACCATGGGTAGAATAGATTCTGTTATATTATCAATAGAAATATATACTATATATATATATAAGAAAAAGATGAACAAAAATATAGCTATTTATATTCAGATAGGTAGTCAGTAGTATGAATTGAGCAATCTCTATACATTATCCCAATATGAACTGACATTTGTTAGTTTAGAAAGATTGTGTGTTGTTAGATTGTAGAACTTTACCAGAATGAATATATATTGTCATGTTGCTGTTTGCCTTACTGCTGGAGCTGAACAACAGTGCTGCATGATCTATCAGGGGACAGTTTCATCATAGATAACTATTAACATACATCATTTAACATGTTAAACAGGATTTTGCTTTAATTTTATTTTTTTTCTGGTTTGGGGAAAATTCACATGTTAGACAGCTGTATTTCAGGGAGATGTTGGAATATGTAACGATTATATAATATCATCAGTATTTCATTGTGTGACATTGAAGTCCAGCATAAAGATGAAGAACCGCTTATTAAGATTTTTCTAATGCAAATCAGCTACACATCTTCCCTAGATAACCAATGACATCTTTGCCATTTAATCACTGAGATTAAAATGACATTTTTAATTAAAAATGAGATAGTTGTAAGATTAAATGGTTGATGTTGACTGTGTAAGTTTTCTGTCAATTTTGATAGAATTATTAAAAGATTTAAACCAATAACATTTCTGTTATTTTGTTACTTTCTGGATTTAACACATCTGTTTTCTTAACATTTACTTGTTGCATGAATTTTGTTGACATACCATGTTTTATTTTATTCTGTTTTTGTTTCTATATGAACTACAAACTTTGGCAGATATCTGTCAGTGCTTTACTTTATGTTTTTTCTTGAAGTATACGTTTTAACATTGATATTCACTGAGACACCAGTTTTTGTGGCCCTGAACAATAAAATATAGACTATAATGGAAAGGTATTGTGTGACATTTTGTAATGTAACATATGTGTCCCACACATGTTTGTAAGGAGACATATTGTTTTTGTCAATGCAAAATACAAAGACAAAGTTACTTCTCATCATTCTCTTCAGTTTTCATATTATGATCCAGTTGGTTTGGGGGACTTGAGAGCTAGCTGTGACAAACTAGCTCAGGCTCAGAATTAGCTAGTTTTGTCAGGATAAAGCATTACTGACCAAATTCAAAATTATGTTTTTAGATATTTGATCAGATTTCAATTCCAACATTTACCAGATTTGAGATTGATTAAAATGTGTAACAGGCAACACACAAAAATATACCACAAAAATAAGTATAATAAAAATAAAGGTTTAGAATATATATTTCATTTAAATAATAATTTTTCATGATGATTATTATTTTCTTTTCTCTTTTCAGGAGAGTCAGTTGGTTGTATACCATCACCTATGACAGTTCAACATGTACCTTTTTATGGACATATATTTAGGTAGGTTCCTTCACTTATGTAGGGTTCAAGTTTGTGTATCAGCAGAAAGTGATAAAGAAAATATAGCTTTACTTGAAGAAGGAAAAGTCAAAGCCAGAGAAAGGGCCAATTTTGATAATATTTATAAATTTGTCCACTATCTTTTTGATCAGTTTATATCAAATATATTATTTTGTTTTATAAATCAAGAAGTTCAATCAAATTGTCACAATGATATATAGATTTCACCACTGCAACAAGTGTGTTACGATATTTCTCCACTCGAGACAGTTAAATTTTAATATTTAAAGCGCGAGGTTTGCTGAGCTTTTTAAATAATTAAAATTTAACTGTTGAGAGTGGAGAAATATTGTAATACATGAGTTATAGTGTAGGAATCTGTTTCTCTAATGATTTTTATCATTCCTTTTTCAAAGAGTTGTCTTCTTTATATGTGATGTCATCAGGCATGGTCGCCTTTTTTCATGACGTCACAATAGGAAATTCAGAAGAAACCAAGAAAATTTAACGTCATAATTAAATTTCTACAAAATTTTTGCCGAGAACAGATATTTCACTAGTGAGGAGAAATATTTTTCTCACACCGATCAAGAAATGTGAAAATAGCACAAAAATTAGAGAAAATATTTTGTCAGTTGATACAACTTCTTACAATCTTGATGCATCTTTGGACTCACCTTTGAAGATGACGAGTCCAGACAGATTTTCAAGAGTCCAGGACTTGTGAACTCACCTTAATGAGAACCCTGCCCAGGTACTTAAAAAGGCCAGTAGTAGGGTAAAAATGTAATAGTCTAGTCAAGTGCTTTGTTGTGACATAGCTACAAATGGCTTAATCTGAGGATAGATGCAAAATAAGAAAAAAGATAACATTGGTGTTGATATTGAATGTTTTTGTTTTATCTTTAGGCATCCATATCAATCTCCAGCATCCTCTGGTCATGCTTCACCAAACAACAGTCGTTCAGCCTCTCCTGGAGATACTGGTATTGATCAGATTACAGCCCTGGTCAATAAACTTCAACTACAGAGATATAGAAGTGGTCTAGACAAGTTCACTATAGAACAGGTTGGTCATTCTATTGATATGATCAAATGAAAAATAAGACATTTAATAATATGTCCCTCAAACTAAGTTTTTATTACCATGTATGGTGTTAAAATTATAGTCTAACAAATTTTAAAAACAAGAAATAATGATATACAAGTTATTCCTGGCAGTGATGTGAAGCAGGGAACATAGTACTAAGCATCGAAATGCCTTTGATAGATTTGGATAAAACACATATGGGCGATTTATATCAACGAAATATCTGCATTTTTGCATCAATCATGATTGTAGTTATTGGAAATCATTTGACTGGTTAGGAGGTTATTAATAGCATTGATGTTCTTTATTGTTTTCAGTTGACTGCTCTACCAATAGATATGATGGTTAAGGAATGTGGTATGAGCTTGGAGGATGCTAATAGGATCTCTGCTGAGTTGGAAGAAAGGTCAAGGTAATATAACTGATAATACATAGTGATCTATATTGAACTAGAGGTTGTTGATAGAAAGTGAAAGGATATGGAGTAAATGTACATGGGACAAAATCGCACACAATACATATAGAAACATAGAAAATTATCAATGAACAGGACATGAGACAAAAAAAGGTGTAAAAAGTTGATTTGATTTGAACTGACAAATGGCTCTGATACCTTCCTTTATTTCTGGAATATAGAGTTGGTCAGTGGTATTGAAATGATACATATAGTCTTCACCCTGTTGACTTAGAGTTTTAAAATCAGTGGTACTTGTATGCAATATTCAAGTGAAAGTTGTTCTGTATCATTAGTAATGACATATACTGTAGATTCATAGTTATTAGTGGGATATCAATCTTCATTTGATGTCGTGGGTATAGATCTGATAATTGATTTCGTGGGTATAGATCTGATAATTGATTTCGTGGGTATAGATCTGATAATAAACCACACATTTAAATGTTCAACAAAGTATAAATATCAATAGGCTTGTTACATGTGTAAGCAAACTTATTCAAAACCAAAAAAATCGTATATCCATGAAAATTTCAATTTTTCCTCCATCCATGAACATGATGAAAATTGGTACCAACGAAAACAAATGAATCCACAGTAACCAACACGCACATATATATTTGCACATATATATTTCCGTCACTGAAATGATACCTATAAATATGTTCAATTGAGATTTGTTAAGAATCACTGGCACTATGCATACATTAAATTGAGAGTTATTCAGTGGTACTTATATTTTACCAACATTCATGTGTGATTCAGAGTTGTTCAAAATAAATGGAACTGGTATGTTTACTATGCATAGGTTCAATTTGGAATTGTTCGGAATCAGTGGCACAGATCTATTTCATATGTAAGAATGAGATTTGTTCAGAATTAAGAGGACTCATACCTTTTTCCTATGCAGATTCCAAAATTGAAACTATTTCCTTTGTTAATTCCATGATGGTATTACAAAACAAAAATTTTTAATAAGAAACATAATGATATTACAGAAAAAAAAATGACAACAAGGAAACTTTTTTTAACAGATCTATAAATAGTTTTATAGTTAATCTAGCAGGAAGTGAAAGTAATGAAGTATTCTGATTTAATTTATGTATTTTTGATATTTATCTCCAATTACAATTGACTTTTACTAAACAGGACTGTTAAGTCATAATTCTATGTTATGTATATGACTGCTTAACCAAGATTATCATCAAAGTTGCTAAAACTTATTGAAGAAAGGATATTTTTATCAGAGAACATATCAAATTTGAGACTTTTTTAGTACATTTTGTCCTAATTTTCTATACATCTTACATTCATATAGATAGATAGTGGTCTGATATATTTCTATATTTGAATTTATAAACATCTATCAAAACAACATATGTCATAGTTCACTGAATACCATATTCTGAGACAAGGATTTGATTTCTTGCAGAGAAAAACCACCAACTAGATTACCAAATGGAATTATGGAACCTTGTATTCCTGGACCAATGTCTCATTACCAAGCATTGTACATGCCCCCACCTCAGCCTATGTATCCCATGATGCCTTACCAGATTCCAAGCAATGTAATAGCTGCCAGAGATACCTCGTCATCAGAGAACTCTAGTCCCTCGCGTAGTCCTGTACCTCAGAAGAAACCTCCACAAAAAGGTGCTGATAGCTCATCAGATGATAGTGAGAAAGGTAGAGTATTTAGTCCTAACAATTAGAACATGGGTTAAAAGGTTCATTGAAATGGTATCTTTACTCTTTATTCTGTGCTGTCTCAAAGCAGATGACCTTTTACTTTTTCCTTTAAATTGAAGCATAATAGAAAATGAGTTATGAAACTTATACCTTTATCTTGCAATCAGATTAGTTTCAAGGGTTCGAGATCATGGATTCTTCCATATAGAAGATTGGACTTGCCATTTCAAGCAAGATTCCATCATGTTAGTGTTGAGCTTATACGTAATTGTATGCCAATGTTTGGGCCTACCTCGCATAAAAAAATATTTGGTTATTATCTTGAATATTATTATAGATAGAGATAAACTGTAAACAGCAATAATGTTCAGCAAAGTAAGATCTACAAATAAGTTGTCATGACCAAAATTGTCAGTCGACCCCTTTAGGAGTTATTGCCCTTAATAGTCAATTTTTAACAATTTCTTGTAAATTTGTGTAATCTTTTACAAAAATCTTCTTCTCTGAAACTACTGAGACAAATTAAACCATACTTGGCCATAATCATTATTAGGGTATCTAGTTTAAAAAATTTGTCCGATGACCCTGCCTTCCAACCATCATGGCCGACTTGGTTAAAAATAGAACATAGGGGTAAAATGCAGTTTTTGGTTTATATCTCTGAAACTAAAGCATTTAGAGCAAATCTGACAGGTGGCAAAAATGTTCATCAGATTTAGATTTATCTGCCCTGAAATTTTCAGACGAATCCGACAACCCGTTGTTGGGTTGCTGCCCCTGAGTTAGTAATTTTACAAAAATATTGCAGTTTTTTGTTTTTATCTTAGATATCATTATAATATCTAATATCTAATACTATTAATTATGATTTTACATGATTTCCAAAGCATCAGTAAATACAGGTGAGCGACACAGGCTCTTGAGAGCCTCTAGTTGTTATTATCTTAGATATCATTATAATATCTAATATCTAACACTATTAATTTTGATTTTAACCTTATTTTACATGATTTCCAAAGCAGCAGTAAATACAGGTGAGCGACACGATGAGGTCGAAGGGGACTTTAGGTTTGCACTCCGTCTCTCTCTGTCCATCCGTCAGTCCGGCAAATCAGTTTTCCACACTTTTTTCTCTTCGTGCTTGTTGATATTGATTTGATATTTGGTATATTGTTTTATCATGACAAGTTACAGATCAAGTTTCGAATTTTGTTCGATCTGATAATTTTGTGCAGAGTTACGGTCCTTGGACTGCGAAAATTCACTCAAATATTCAGTTTTCCGCACTTTTTTTCGTCATGCTTGAAGATATTGACTTGATATTTGTTATATAGTTTACACCATGACAAGTTATAGTTCAAGTTAGCATTTTGTTCCAGTACAATTAATTTTAACCGGTAGGGGACTATGTATTGCCAAGCAATACTCTCAGAATGCTTGTTTCTTTTCTTTTTGTATGACAACATTAATATGCCTTTTTATTTTGTAGGAAGTAGAGTTGATTCTCCATTTCTGGATGCTAAGAAGGAAGTTCATAATCCTAGTCAGAACACAGAGGAAGTAAATAGTGAAACTCCTCTACAAGCTGATCACCATGCCTTTGAGAATGTACATGGGCACAGCAGTAGTGGCAGTGGATACCAGTCAGATCCAACTCCAACACAAGGGCCTTTCATGCGAGTGATTTTTCCCAACAACTCTTACAAAGCTCAGCCTACTCATAGTAATCTGAATTTTCCAAATAAGACATTAATCAGTATGCCAGATACTGTTGGTGGACGTCGTATAGGATATGCCTATCCGTACCAACGATGTGATAACCAGACCTTGACTACAACTGTAGCTTCAAACAGTAGTAGCAATGGTCCAGAAATGACACGTAGGCCAGTAATACCTGGTCAGATTCCAATTATTAGATCTCCAACAGTCAGTGGAAATGGCCGCAACTTCATGTGTTCTGTTACCGCATCAGCGACTCCTGTAATGGCAGCGAATCTTCAAAACAGTTTAAATGGCAATATTCGACATATTGGTCTGGCCCCATCAGTATCAGATCCAGGTCTTTCACCTAATCAAGATTCACAAAACGGTTCTGGAAATCAGAGTCCATTGCCAAATGGTAACCCTGTTACTTGTTCCGGACCTAATGGACACATTAGTCATGCACAGTGTACTTCCTGTGGCTGTACCGGAAGCCATCAAGTTCCATCATATCAAGTCCACTTACCAAATCATCACTACCTACAGAATCAAATGATGTTTCCACCTTTTATGAATGCAAATCCAAACGGAATCGTTCATCACCCATATTATCATCATCCACATTTCCAATATCCAATATCAAATGGAATACCTCCGAGTTACCTTCAAGCAATCAATCCTCATCCATATCCGAATGTAGCCGGGGCTCAGTATAGCTGTTTTCCTCCAGTTGTGTTACAACGTCGGAACAGTGCAGGATACAATGCTGGAAAGCCACAAAGAACCACTTCTGCAACTTGTTCCAACTGTGGGTCAACTGATCATATATCCTCCGAGTGTAAAGAAAGCTCCATGGAATCCATGTCGGGTAATTCTTCATAAAACTCTTATCTTCTTTGAGTATCAATAGTCCCAAGTTCCTGTAAAAAGATATAAGAAGATGTGGTATGAGTGCCAATGAGACAACTCTCCATCCAAGTCACAATTTGTAAAAGTAAACCATTATAGGTCAAAGTACGGCCTTCAACACGGAGCCTTGGCTCACACCGAACAGCAAGCTATAAAGGGCCCCAAAAATGACTAGTGTAAAACCATTCAAACAGGAAAACCAACGGTCTAATCTATATAAAAAACGAAAAACAGTCAGTAATTTAAATCTGTGAATGGCCAGTTTTCAGTATTGTGACAAGGAAAATATAATTACTTATTGATAAACTAATAAACTAAATGTGGGATTCATGCAATCACTTAAGCTATTCAACACAAGGTTATAAGTGAAGACAATCCTAGTTATTGTAAGTGAAGACAATCCTAGTTATTGTAAGTCAAGACAATCCTAGTTATTGTATAAGAGGCCATTCTGTTTTGATTTTAGGGGATTTCTGCTAAATCCATGATTTGTCTGTTATAACTTTCTTTGTTCAACATAGTAATTGATTTCCAGTACAGCCGTTATTGCCTCTATTTATGATGAATTATTTCACGTTTTGGGATAATGTATTACCCAAATAGAATTGCTTATTATATATGTAAGGTAAGAAAATAACAAATATTTACTTTGTATGATAATAATGAATATTTACCTTGTATGATTGTAACAAATATTTACCTTGTATGATTGTAACACATATTTACTTTGTATTTTTCAGCTTCTTTTCATTTAAAATATGATCCTAAATCAAATTCGGATTGACTAGCAAAGGAGAAAAACAACTACAGATCACCCAAGGCTAACTTTTTCCCTCAAAGAAGAAAACATTTTATGTATTTACCAAGAACATTTTCTCTGAGAAAGTGAATGTGGAGAGTGGTTTTATACCAGACTTTCTGGGATCTCTGTGATATCCCATTCTCCATATTTTAATCGTGTGATTTGGTTATGTAACTGTTTTAAATTGTGATTATTCTTACAAATCAGTGCGATTTATGACATTTTGTTTAATCATGTTTTGAGAGTGTATTGATGTATTTTTTGAATGAATCAGTTTTTACTAGTGTTTGAATCTTTGTTTGATCATGATTTTTAATGATTTATGCCTGTGTAAATGATAATAATATTGTGATGTGTAAATTATGTTGTGTGAATATTTCTGCAGCTGAATGATTTAAGAAGTTTGATTGGTCTAGAAAAGTAATTGTCTTTTTCAAGTGACATTAATGAATGTTGTAAAGCAGAAAATGTTTATATCTGATAAAACGTGAAAAGGGATTTTATTTAATAAAAGGGGCAAATGATTTCAGAACCCAGAAAAAATATAAAATCAAAAGACCTTGTTCTTATAACATGTTTAATATGTTGAAAGTGGAATAAAATTGATAAAAAAGCAATTTATAGGGTAGGAGCTATATGTAAGACAGTATTTAATATTTGATTTTGAATTGTTCATTCTGCTAAAGTACTTATAAGATTTGATAAAGTTCTAAATAGCATTTAATTTAAATGTACTTAACTGTTAGGAATTGATTTAGTATGTAAATTAAGTTTTATTTTTATTTTGAATAACTCTTCTGTGCTTAAAATTTCTGTATAATCATAACTTGCAAACTGTGGTATTGTTGCATAATCTAGAAAGTTCTCTCATTCTTTTAGTGCACATGATAATTTGTTAATCACATTAGTATTATTGCAACAATTGAAGTATATCCAGATACAACTTTTTTTTTATCGTTTATCATGACTTTTTAAGATGTTTCTTGACTAAGTTATTTTTGGCTGTGTTGAACAAAGTGTGCTGTAGAGTTTATTTACTTCAATTTTTTGTTGGTTTTGATTTATTGATTTCAGTAGTTTTTTACTTGCTGCAGAAGAAAAACCAAATTTATAGTAAAATGAACTTTCAACTCGGAAGTTTAGAATCATAAAATATCACATTATTTATTTAAATATTCAGATTCACTCTGATGTCCCCATTAAAGCCTTGATGATATTGGGTTTTTCCCTCCACACAAATAATCCTAGGTTAGTGCAATTTGAAGTATTAGTGCTTGTATTTGTTTAAAACATATAATCAGATTTTGTATTTAACTGGTAAGTGCTTTGTCATAAACTTTGTGATATTTTTGTGCCATGAATGATGTAATAGTTCAGTGATAATTCTTCAAAATAGTCCTATACAAGATCTTTTCTTTCAAACATGTTATTTAGCATTGTATTAAAGGGGATACCTTCCAGTGAAACAAAAGATTTATTTTATGAAGGAAGAATCATTTTAGGTTTTAACAGCATATTTTTCTTTTTTGTTCCAAAAGGAGGCAGCAAGAATTAAAACTGGCAAAATGACCCATTACCTAAGTGCTCTCTTATATATGTTATGGTCATAATTCAAGAATGGCTTGTTCTTTTTCTCATAAATAATAAAATAAGTAACTTAAAAATAAAACTAAATAAAGTTAACAGGCATTCTGATTTGATCGTTTTAGTTTTCAAGACCAGAAAAGTAAAATTTTGTTTTAAAGCAGAATAAGTGTGCAAAGTGGATATTTTTAAGTAAAAAGTGCATGTTAATACCTTGTATTGTATATTTTAGTAAAAAACTGTATGTATGGTTCCCTATGTTGTATGTGAGATAAGTATTGATAACATTGACCAGGGTTCTAGTCAGCTTAAGAATGTGAATTTTGATCTCATTATTACCATTTTAGATCTAAAAAAAATGTAGAATTTCTGTTAAAAAGATTTCTATTAAAAAAATCCTTTCCTAGTATGGATACATGATTTGAATATTGTCTGGATTGACTAAGATGTTTTGTTGTTGGCTCTCATTTTGTTGTTTTAGTTCAAAAAAAAAAATAATTGTATATTTGTAATTAGAATCAAGATTTTTATTTAATTTTATATATCAAATTATTAATTCTTGAACTGGATTATTTCACATAAACATTGCATTCGAAAAAAAAAGTTTAGAATATATGTTTAACAATACTTCATATGCAAATGGGTATATTCATGATAGGAATGTGCAGGAGAATGCTTGATTCAAATTTGCATAGGTATTTTTGTCCATAATGAAATTTTTAATAGACCATTAAAAGTGAACAGGAGAGAACTTTTTATATATGTAATCTAATTTTAGTTTTATTCAGAGTAGTCCATAAAAACAGCCATCATGCCCTAGACCTGTCATTTCGTCCAGAACATGACGGTGAATTTTTATGTAAATATAACACGAGTGTTGATTTTCCATGATTAAAATCAGTGATCTCATATTTTTATGGTGACATTTTAGATATTGTTTCAAACATGTTTAATGTACATATATTTTAGTGCTTTCTTTTTAATGGATGAATAATATGATTACACAATGTATTTGTTTGTTGAGGCCTTAAGTTATAGTACAATTATGTAAGGATTTTTCTTGAGAGAGTTGTCAGGTTATATAAAATTAGTGTAAACAATATTTTATTGTGCAAATAAGAACATGAACAATACAATATGACAGTTCTATTTGGATTGGAAAACATGTGCATTTTTACTTATACAAATTTCTCTCTCTGTTGTCATGTTGTCCCCAATATTAATGCAGTCATGATTAGTACAAAAAAGGAAGAAGAGCTATACATGTTGTAGGTATTTGATTTAAATGACAAATGTACTAAATTTCAACATTTATTCTTATTAGTCATGTCCATATTTACTTGTTACTTCTCTTAAACCCATTCTCAAGGGAACAGCTAATGATTGACTGTTCATGTCTTTTGTTATGAAAGCTATGATGGGTTAAATAATTTAAATAATGCCTCTCCTCCTCCCACTTCTATCAGGGTCATTCAATTGCAGATAACTATAAATGTTGGAGACATAGTCCCTTATCAGATATCATTTTGTATTTATACATCTTATACAGCCAAACAGACATCATTTTATTATACACTGGAAGTTAGTGGACTACATATTGATATCAATCAATTGCTAAAGTATAAACAAATTTTGTAAATGAATATTGAAAATTAGTCTTGGATGGTTCAATATTGAATTTTGGTGATAAAGCATTGTTAAATAATTTCTATTGAAACATCCATATGTAACAGCAAGCTGACTTAGTGTAATCCATATTAATGTATAAAGATATTAATTGAAAGGGTCATCAAATGGTTTACATTTTTTCAAAGCCTTATATTATTTTTGTTACCCAAGTTATTTAACATAGTGAGAATTGTATATGTTCAGTAAGATATGTTTTTTTTAATGGATAATTATAAAAAGATAGTGTTGTCCCCCCTGTCATAGAAGATTGTGATTGCATTCTCATAAGTATGAAAGGGTTTCCTGATCTTGATCTGAAAAGCATGATTTATTGTTTACGAGCTCTTTTAGTTGTGGTTATTTTTTTGTCATCACCAATGGTTATTGTCAGGTTTTATAATACATTTGTCTATTAGAGATCTCCTGACTTTGACTGATTTTCATGGATCAGTGAGTCAAATATTTTTTTGTGACTTGATCATTTCAAAATAAATGTTTAAATTAGATTTACTATCTTGTACCCCTATGAGTCCCTTTAAAAGTATGTGTGTAATTTGGCCTTTACATTAAAGACCTTCATGGATATTAATTAATAATATGTTACTTAGGTATTAAGATATTTCTTGTGACCACTTTTCTTTTAATATGTCATTAATCTAGATTCTATTTTTCAATCACCTTGGCAAGAAAAAAACATTCATAAAGTACATGCACAATGTTAAATTTGCTATATTAAATTATTTTAATCTTAATAATCACAATGAAAGATATTTTACAGCTTTGGGGCAGTTCAAAAGTTTTATTGATTTAATATTTTGGTTTTATATTTATATTTTTGAATTTTTATAGTTCTTTTAATGTCTATGTTGAATGTATTCAAAAAGTTATATAATGATAAAAAAAAATGTCACATATTTAGATACTTTTGAACTATATTTGAAAATTAATGCTAATTTAGAAAAAAAAAACTTGAATTGTTTTATTAAAAAAAAATTGATTCACTGAATATTTATACATGCATGAAACCTATATTTTTTGTGTTTGCATCTATACATTTCTTCTTATATTCTAGTCCTATGAGCTAACTTACAAATACTGGTAATTAAGGTGCTAATTGAGTGTATTCACATACATATTACAGTCCAATTTTGGTAGCTTAATGTCAAGGGAACCTTGTTTGAAACTTTTTATTGTTGAAAATGTACCAATGCAGTGAAGTTTTTTTGTTTTGGTTTGTATATTTGCTGAGCATATTATTTTTTACTAAGAAATGACTTTCTAGAGATAATAGGACATAGGGGGTATAATTTTCTTTAATGTTCATATCTTTATAATGTAGTGCCATCAACTTTATAACTTCAATTTTACTAAAAAAAAAAGTGTTTATAAAATTTCAGACAAGGACTAATTTGGTTCTATATTAGTTCATATCCACCAAATTGTTGTCAAAATGTGATTGAATGTCAAACTGTGTTAAGAATTGTTCTTAAAATTTATATTACCAATTTTTTAATGTAATGATTTGCTTGTAGGTAACCTCTTAGCAGTTGTAAAATATTTGTGTCTAATATCTACAAATTGCATTTTATAATATTTCAGTGTTCAGAAAAAAAAAAGGCAAATTTTGAGTGTTCAACGATTATAGCATATAAAAAACAAGATCAAAAAATTAATCTCAAACTGGTAGCATCTATGCAGGATATTTTTTAACATACTTATTTTCTGAAATTGTTTTCTTTTTGATAAGAATGTTGTCGGAAATATGATTTATGGAATGTATCAAACAAATGCAAATAGTACTTACAGTAGACTACTTGATATTTAGATGAAAATGTATCATCATTCCTGTGTCTTAGTTTAAAGCAGTATTAGTTCAACACCTGTATTTAAACTGTATCCTAACCTTTTTGATGAGAAAACAAATTGGATAGAAACTTTTAGAACTAATGTTTGATATTATGTTTTAAACAAAAGCAAACAGACTGTCTATTTCATTTTGTTTTTAACTGGATTTTCGAAGTAAAAATTGGTTATTGATTTGGCGATGTACAGCGGGAGCGGCTGCCAAACAGTGTCCGTTCATTTACATGAAAACGCTTGAAGAAATTTTTTAAAATTTAGATATGTTGTTTCCTGTGTCTAAATGAAGGTCAAGTTCAATTTTCACGATTTTAGCTTTTCTCGTTAGTTACTTATAGTCCTCTTTTCCAAGAATCCAATTTTGATGAATTAATCCTTTTCTGTACGAAGGGAAATAACTCATTTTTAAAAAGATTTTTTAAAAGACACCTGTATTAATGATAAATGACATTTTGGATTTTTTTTTCTTTTCTTTGGTAAATTGTTTGAACAATTTTGTGGTAGGTTTGTTTGTTATTCTATATAAACTAATTGTCTGAGTGTGTGTTAATTTTAATTTTTACTTGATCCTGTTCCAGATTTGCAAATTCATTAGATAATAATCTATTTGTGTTAAAGGATATATTTCATTACATTACATTGTGTAGATAAAGTTGTAGAATTTCATAGATAAGTTGCAGATCTTTATTAGTTTGTTAAAAATGAAAGAAAAATATTGGGAACTATTAACTATATATATAAAGTTTGATTACACTAAGTGTTTTTAAATGATTTTCAACTTTTATCAAGATAACACACGATCTGTTAAGTGTCAATCACCCAATTATAATTGTAGTGACAGATTAATTTGAAAACTATTAATTATATTAGATTGTAATTTGAAAATAAATATAACATCATATCTAATTACATCATATCTAATTTTAGATTTGCATTATTTGTTCATGGAAATAAAGTTATTTCCCTTTGAACAAAATTGGTTTAACTAAGAAGTATTTCATCAAAAATTGAATTCTTGGGGTTCTTTGATATGCTGATTCTAGCAATGTACATAGATTTTGGATATTGGACCATAACAGGTAAATATCGAATTTCAATTTTGTGTCACGAACCTATGCGGTATCAAATATTCAATCACAATCCAAATTCAGAGCTGTTTTAAGTTTAAATGTTGTGTCCATACTTGCTCAACTGTTCAGTGTTCGACCTCTGCAGGAAAATTCGGGTTGCTGTCTCTCTGACAGCCTCTTGTTGATAATAAAGTAAATACATTACCCTAGGATCACAGGTTTTAGTCAGTGTAAAAAGCAAACACTGTAATCCTCAGACCTTGATTAACCATTTATTATATCAATCCAAATTTGTTTTTTCGTGTTTCTTATATGTAAGATAACAGCAAAAATTAGAGTATTTGTAATGCTCATGTGAGACTTTAAAGACTTGTGAACTGTATTTTAGACAATATGTCACTTTTTGGTGCAGTAAAATTTGGAATTAATTATTTTGATACCATTTCTTTTTATATTTCACTTAAATATTAAATAGTCTTTACAAAAAGAAAGTTAAAATGGTGTCTTGTGTGCATGCTAGAAAAAACCTAGCTGAAATCAGGATATGGTTGCAGATACTTATTTTTATTTCAAGAATAGAAATAGATTAAATATACATATTAATTTTGTAAGCTTTTTTTGAAAACATAATATGACTGCTTGCAATAACATGTCTGTACATAATCATTTATAAAACAGGTTTTGTATATGCATATGAAAAAATGTATCAGCAATCTTGGTTGTATGATTTTAATGATTTTTTAAAAGGCAAGTTGTTTGACTATTGTGTTACTGGGATATAATTATGTGTCCTTTAAAATACAGAAATGTGATATTACTGGCAGTTAAAATTATACAAGGACTAAGCATGGTTTGAGAAGTATGTTTAAACAAGGAAAATATATCACCTAATAGAAATTTGAAGGGAAAAAGTATTGCATAGATTTGTGGGTAAGGCTTGAAAAATTATACCAAACAAAAATGGAGAAGTGAAAAGTGTGGTGTGGTAGAATTAGGATTGAATGAATATTGTTTGCCTAACTATTTTAGAAATAGGAAAGAAAAAATGTAGGAAAGGAGACTCCTGCATTTACAAAGATTTTGTTATGTTACACACCATTTTCCTCTTCACAAAAAAAGTCTATTGTTTTGAATTTAAAAAAAAACATTGTATACTTAATTTTGTGCACCTTAAGGTTTTTATCCATATTCTAAGTTTTGAGCATTCCTGATAATGGCTATATCAGAAATCTTTTGCAACAGAAAAACATATTTTGATCTTGATCAATGAGTGAATAATAACAAAAAAGTGTGGGCAAACTCAGTAGGAAAATTCAAATTTGTCTACGTACTTCACATCACATGAACATAACTTTTTGACTGCCAGTAATATCAACTGCTTACCCCTATTGTTTAATTTATTATAATGCATTGCTCAAATATTGGCTGATTGTACATTGGATAGTTGTGTTAATTATAAAACGCCTGTTTGACCAGTCATTGACATTTTTAAGAATATCAGTATGTATGTATTTTATGCATAAAAACCAATTCATGTAAAAAAAAAGATAAAAATAAAGAATTAAATAAATTCTGTGTTTTTTTAATTTATAGGGTAACATACAACTCACTCCTGTTATCTTGAACTAAGATAAGTCGAACATTCCAAGGATCAGATACAGTTAAGTTTATCCCTGAACAATTAAAAGTGATTGCTCTGTTTAACATGCTATATCACTATTAAAGAGCAAGTTTAATTGTTTTGCTATGTTAGAATGATCTCCAATTATGCGTCTGAAAAGCTTGTATTGAATTTTAAACAAAATAGCTATATTATTCTTAACCATTTAACGAATTTGAAACTATTCAGGCAGAAAAGGCATTGTGATGTCAATTATAACAACAATCTGATAAAGGCATTAACTTGCAGAAGAATAGAAACAGCATGTTTTGATAAACCCTACCCATAATATCTGAAGATTTACAGAGATCTAGAGGATATGGAATTTCAAAAAAAAAGAACATTTATCAAAGACAGCTATACAGCCCTCTCATGCACAAAAGATTTACACAATTAGAATCAATGAAAAAGTGCACAACCTTGTTATGACCATACTAGCCAATATGTTTAATGTTTAAATTGTTCATTAATGATGTATATTTCTACCAATTGTCTCACATTTTGGAAAAAGCTCTGAAATGAAGACTTCTAAGGACCGAGGTCTTAAGAAAATTGCAAAACCTTTTTTGTCATGGATTCTATTATATTGGTTAACCAAGATTTGTATTGTTTCAGATTTTTATACGACCGCAAAAAATTAGAATAGATGATTAAGAATATAAATATTACTAAAGCATTTGGACATGATGGCATCTATCCCTGTGTAATAAAGGAAATGTCAACAGTCATTCGACACCAATTTCACTTCTTTCACAATCCACCAATTGGGGTACCATTCTAAAAGAATGGAAAACGGCCAAATATCTGCCCACTCTTAATATAAATGATCGATCCATACCCAGTAACTATCAACCAGTATCACGTACCTGTATTACATTTTAGTTTATGGTATAGAACCACTAATTAAGGCCCGGTCGGAAAGAACATACAAGAAAGTAGTACATATTTTAAACAAAATAGTTCCTACGCATAGCTGTATCTTTGTCAATAGGTGGAATATTTGGGTAGTTTTGGTATCAAATGAAAGCTTAGGGACTTGGAATCACTGTAGAACCCTTGTTGAAAGTTTCTTTTGAATAATAAAGAAGTATATACAATTTTAATAGGAGGGCACATTTGCCCTGTTGTTCAGATCAGAAGTACCTGTTTTTGTACTATCAAACTTCCGGGAACCAGTACGCTCTAATATGCAATTAAAGGTATGTTGAATTTTTCAGCACAAGTCAGGATAAGGTATAGTTTTGACATGAAATAACTGCTACTTCATTTGAACTTAAGACAAAGTAGCCATTAATGCTTGAAATTGCAGAATTTAACATTGAAAGCAATGGGGCTATGAATTAGTGGTTTTATACCTATTCCTGAAAGGCATGTCAAATTCTATTTTTAGAAAGCATACCCTTTACAATGAAAATTAGTCACATTTGTTGTCAGTAATCATGTTTCATTATTTTTTTTATGTAACAATTATGTTGGTGTCAAATTACAACCCTCAAATTGCTACAATAAGGTATTTCAGCCTTTTTTGATCATTAAGCATGCACACAGTTAAGATTTTACCTGAAGTTTAAATTTTTGCATTTCCTAAGACTGAAACCAATGAAACATGTATATTATGAGTAGTTAATAGTATAAATATTGCTTTTGGTCAAATTATCTAGTGAGTGTTCATGTTTTATTGGGTTTCTTATTGAATCATTTATTACAAATGAAATTAATGTTTACTTATATAGGATTTCCAAAATCTCACTTGAAATGCATTTTATAACCAGTTTAGCAAGTTCTCTAGCTGGGAGATACATAAATTGCTCTTGTTGATCCATGTTTATACATAAAAGTATGGTTTTTACCAAATCACTCTCCTTTTTCAACATGTAGAAAAAAGGGGGGTCAAAATTATCTATTATTTTTTTATGTTTGGACCACTGTATTTATATTCAAGGAAGAATCTTTGATAAAAATAAGACAAATATGTAAGGACACTGTTATTTGAGTAGATATTAACAAATAAGAACTGGTAAAAATTGAAAAAGTGTCATATCTGTCACTATAAGTATCCATATGGAATTTTCTTTGTATAACGCATATGTTACTACCAGTCCAATTTGAGCTTGAATTCAGTGATATTTTGTTTTGACTAAAGCTTTATGTGTTTTTCTATGCTAGAAATAGATTATAGAAGGAAATGAAGTCAAGCAGAAGTCAATATAACAAGTTAGGTGCTGTTATAGGTATAGAACCACTAATTAAGGCCCGGTCGGAAAGAACATACAAGAAAGTAGTACATATTTTAAACAAAATAGTTCCTACGCATAGCTGTATCTTTGTCAATAGGTGGAATATTTGGGTAGTTTTGGTATCAAATGAAAGCTTAGGGACTTGGAATCACTGTAGAACCCTTGTTGAAAGTTTCTTTTGAATAATAAAGAAGTATATACAATTTTAATAGGAGGGCACATTTGCCCTGTTGTTCAGATCAGAAGTACCTGTTTTTGTACTATCAAACTTCCGGGAACCAGTACGCTCTAATATGCAATTAAAGGTATGTTGAATTTTTCAGCACAAGTCAGGATAAGGTATAGTTTTGACATGAAATAACTGCTACTTCATTTGAACTTAAGACAAAGTAGCCATTAATGCTTGAAATTGCAGAATTTAACATTGAAAGCAATGGGGCTATGAATTAGTGGTTTTATACCTTATAGAACACATGAGCTGCGTCGGATAGAAATAGACCTTATGCAAGTGCACGTAAACATGTACATGTACAAGACTTTGATCGCTATTGGAACATTCAAATACGAAATAAAAGATGAATTTTGTAGGGTTCTTGTATCAACCAGGAACATATATATTGATACTCAATTTTCAAACAGTTACAGTCTTTGCATACAGATTTTTTCAACCGGAAATATGTTAACAGATGTTTTGATATTCATTTGTAGAAGTTCGATTTCTATCCGTCGCAGCTCACATCATATGTTGCAACTCTTCGCAGACCAATACTCCATAGATGTGACACGCAATTAGTATTTGTTCATAAAAGACTGGGCAACTTCCATCGATAATGGGAAACAGATAGATGTCAAACTCGACTTTGAAAGGTCCTTTGATTAAACACCACATGAACTTCTAAAATAGACCAACACACATGAAACTGGAAAAAAACTCGTTCTTTATGAAGAGGGCCAATGCGAGGTTGAAAATGATTGCAATTCAAGAACAATAGCGGTGCTCTCAAAAGTCCAGCATTACATGGGACCTATTTTATTTTGAGTAAACATCAACATACCTGAAAATATACAATGTCACCAGATATAACACATCAATGCATGATTGCAAAATAATATATAATTATATATAACGACGGGAGAACAAAGATAAACGTGTGAATTGGGCAAAAACATTGGGCATGAGATTCATACTGGCCAAATGTAATATGTTGACACTCAGCTTTACTGAATTATCAGACTATGAGAAAATGAGAAAATCAACAATTCGCTTTCATTGTTTTAGTCTCTTACAGTTTTTCAATGGCGTTGTCATTCTCTCTCGACTCATGAGTGTTGAATGTCCCCTTATGATCTTCCGCCTCTTTTTTTTATACACAATATGGCGAACTTTTGTTCTTCGCTGTCTTACACATGCTAACACATGGATATATATAGAGTCCAAAAATATATTTCGCATGAACCATTGAAATAAATGCTGCGTTACGAATTTTGTAAATAAATACAAATAAAATTTAAAACAACTTTCAGAATTTAAAATGAGTTTTAAAAATAGCTAATGTTCCACAAATTGATGATTGTCCCTTTCATATTTAAATTGCTTTAACAACAATTTATTATTTCTTGTTAATCAAGTAAATGAGTAAATATAACACCAACTATGAACACCGTACTGTTTTTAATGATAAAGATTTAAAAAAAAATATTTAAAGAATGAGCTTATTTATCGGTTGGGCACTCTTCCTGTATTGATATTTGAATTCACTTCCTTATCATAAATGAGTCATCTGTTCCTTTTATGGAAATTTACAAGAACAAAACAGGTAAGTACATTACTATGCCTGCAAATTGGATTATTCGATTTTGTAATTGACATATTAAAGTTCCATCAATCCCTGGTCGTGTCTGTTAATATTTTCTTTAATTAAATATACGTGGTACCGAAGACTTTAGGTACACGTAGACTGGATTGTCCTTTCTATTTTTTCCATCATTTCAATTTCATGTTTTGCTAATAATAGCCATTTAGTAACTTATAATGTTTTAGATCTGACTTAGATCTGTTAGAGTGCATGCAATCTAAGTCTCTTTCATCTTGAAATAGTATTAAACATTTGACTTTTCTATCCCTTACACAAGTACTCCCCATTCCAAACTAAAAGACAAATTGAAAGAATTGTTCCTGTTTTATTTCATAAAAAAATGGCCAATGTAGATACAAGTATCTTGTTTTAGGGAGGGATAAATCTTACTTTGTAAATAAAAATTGTTACGTTTGGAGATGTTGTTTTTGTCGAGCCTGCTACTTTTGTCGCAGAAAGCTCGACATAGGGATAGTGATCCGGCGGCGGCGGCGGTGGCGGCGGCGGCGTTAGCTAACTACTTAAAAGCTTTATATTTTAGAAGGTGGAAAATCTGGATGCTTCATACTTTGTATATGGATGCCTCATGTTACAAAGTTTCCGTCAGTCACATGTCCAATGTCCTTGACCTCATTTTCATGGTTCAGTGACTACTTGAAAAAAAAGTTCAGATTTTTTGTAATGTTAAATTCTCTCTTATTATAAGTAATAGGATAACTATATTTGGTATGTGCGTACCTTGCAAGGTCCTCATGCCCGTCAGACAGTTTTCATTTGACCTTACTCATTTCATGGATCAGTGAACAAGGTTAAGTTTTGGTGGTCAAGTCCATATCTCAGATACTATAAGCAATAGGTCTAGTATATTCGGTGTATGGAAGGACTGTAAGGTGTACATGTCCAACTGGCAGGTGTCATCTGACCTTGACCTCATTTTCATGGTTCAGTGGTTATAGTTAAGTTTTTGTGTTTTGGCCTGTTTTTCTTATACTGTATGCAATAGCTCTACTATATTTGGTGTATGGGATGATTGTAACGTGTACATGTCTAGCTGGCAGGTGTCATCTGACCTTGACCTCATTTTCATGGTTCAGTGGTTATAGTTAAGTTTTTGAGTTTTGGTCTGTTTTTCTTATACTGTATAAAATAGGTCTACTATATTTGGTGTATAGAATGATTGTGAGGTGTACACGTCTAGCTGGCAGGTGTCATCTGACCTTGACCTTATTTTCATGGTTCAGTGGTCAAAGTTAAGTTTTTGAGTTTTGGTCTTTTTTGTAATACTGTATGCAATAGGTCTACTATATTTGGTGTATGGAATGATTGTAAGGTGTACATGTCTAGCTGGCAGGTGTCATCTGACCTTGACCTCATTTTCATGGTTCAGTGGTCAAAGTTAAGTTTTTGAGTTTTGGTCTTTTTTTCTAATACTATATGCAATAGTTCAACTATATTTGGTGTATGGAAATATTTTATGATCTATATGTCAGTCACGCAGGTTTTATTTGACCTTGACCTCATTTTCAAGGTTCATTGCTCAGTGTTAAGTTTTTGCGTTTTGGTCTGTTTTTCTTAAACTATAAGCAATAGGTCAACTATATTTGTTGTATGGAAGAATTGTTAGCTGTACATGCCTGCCTAGCATGGTTCATCTGACCTTGACCTCATTTTCATGGTTCATTGGTCAATGTTTAGTTTACTTGGTTAATGTTAAGTTTATGTGACAGCTGTAATAAAGCTTTATATTTAGGACTATCAACATAATATCAATGATTAGTAAAGAAGGCGAGACATTTCAGCGTGTGCACTCTTGTTCATCAAACAATCGACATGTTCATGGAAACTAATTGAGTCCCCTTTTTACCGACCTGTTTCTTTATTCATATGAGGCTGATTTTATACATGAGCTTCTCAGGAAGAATATAAGAGGCTAGCATTATCATTTAACTTTACGTTCCGCTATAAAGATGATGTCCTCTCACTAAATAATTCAAATTTTGGTGACTATGTTGAACGCATCTATCTGATTGAACTTGAAATAAAGGATACAACAGATACAGCTAAGTCTGCCTCATATCTTGACTTACATCTAAAAATTGACAATGAGGGTCGGTTGAGAACAAAACCTTGCGACAAAAGAGACATGGTTTCTGCTTTCAAATTGTGAGCTTTCCATTTCGAGCAACGCCTGCATATGGGGTATATATCTCCCAGTTGAAACGACATTCCAGACTTAGCATTTCCGATCATGACGACGGATATGTTCCAACTGTCGTAACCCCAATCCCGTCCTCAGTAGGATCTTCTTACCCTTTCCGGAGCACATGAGATCACCCCCGGTTTGTGTTGATGTTTGTGTTGCTTAGTCTTTAGTTTTCTATGTTGTGTATGTGTACTGTTGTTTGTCTTTTGGTCGTTTTTCGGTTTTTGCAATGTTAAATGCCTTTGTCTATATGCCTATTTGTTTTTCTTTGTTGGCATATTTGTTTGTTTTTTAGTGATTAAGACTATAATACAATGTTGACTGCTGTATCCCTATTATTGACTTTTTTACTATTATGTCTGTTTGTTTTGTTCACACATCGTTGTCAATATAAAGGAATTTTATGCGACTGTCATACAAGTAAGAGGTTTAGCTAGCTATAAAACCAGGTTTAATCCATCATTTTCTACATAAGAAAATGCCTGTACCAAGTCAGGAATATGATAGTTGTTATTCATTTGTTTGATGTGTTTGAGCTTTTGGTTTTGCCATTTGCTTAGGGACTTTCCGTTTAGAATTTTCCTCGGAGTTCGGTATTTCTGTTATTTTACTTTTTGTCAATTTGTTTTCGACTTTGAGTTTGAATGTCCCTTTGGTATTTTTCGCCTCTATTAATGAAAGTCATTGGTGTATGTAAATCTTTCATCTAACTGCATAGATGGGATTTTTGTTTTGGTTTTAATCGAAAAAGACGTCAATACAATACCACTTACGGTTGTAAGACAAAATGTGGGTTGGTAGGGGGTTCTTTCTGTAGGACTGTCTGTCACGCATTCATTCTCCACATTTTGTCTTACAACCGAAGAATGTTTGTTTCTTTGCATCGCTACCGTTTTTAGTTTCCGATTAAGTCCATTTCAGAATTAATGCAAAATAACTTACCTTAAATAATGCTTTGTTGACATTTACGTTGTTCAAATATTTCTGTTTCTGATTTTTGGTGTAAATGTATAGTAACTATGACAGGTTTCAGATATATAATTTTTCTATTTAAATCCATGGACTTCAGTTTCAAGCAGAATATGAGGTTCTGTCTATTCTAGTCATACTTCATTTATATGGTTGATTTTTTTCTAATAAAGCCTGTTTATAAAAAAAAGTACTTACACTATACCATTGATAGAATTGAGAACGGAAACGGGGAATGTGTAAAAGAGACAACAACCCGACCAAAGAGCAGAAAACAGCCCAAGGCCACCAATTGGTCTTTAACGTAACGACACATTCCCGCACCCGCAGCTGTCCTGGGTTTATTTTTAATGTGTAATTTTTAAAACACGGACCCTTTTACCCACAAACATCGACCAACAAGTATATTGAAAAAACAAGCTATACAGAAAACTAAATATTGATCAACACAAACCCCATCCAAAAACCAAGGTGAATTCAGGTGCTCCATGTAATCAGTTCCTACTCCACTAATGGCTGTCATGGCTACGACAAGCAGCAATCACGTGTTAATTCGACTTCTATAAACGAGTAAGGAAAGACGGGATTGTGGCAACGATAGATGGAACAAATTCATGATCATCGTTGACACACAAAATGTATAGGCAATCAAGCCATAGTGGTGCTCATAAATCTTTGGAATCGATAACTTCAACTCCTTATTTCATAAGCTTCTTTATGAGCAGTTATTCTCTATCATGATAATCTTTGAGAAACATAAGCTTTAGAATATCGTATCATCTAGAAATTATATGCCGCATATGCAGGTGTTACTGGAATGATGCTAGATGAAATTGAAAATTCACAATAGTTTAGAATCGACCTTTTTATAAGGTAAAAACAGCTGTATTCGTTATATAAATTAAAGTTTCTATTAAATTAAAACAAATAGAGGACAATAGCTATCGTATTTATTCAATGGGACAGTTCATCTTCCAAGAATTTAGATACCCTGACCAAAACCAACTTATTCTCGTAATAGTAAAAAAATCAGTCTAACACTGAAAGAGAAAATTAAATTTTCATAGCAATATAAAATTAGAATTGTGCAAAACATTAAAAAAAAAAGAACTGAAAAATCGATATATAATATATGAATTATTTTACATTACAAGATAGTTTTGATCCTGTATATATTCAATTTCTGTTTACGGTGAAATTTTTTTTGCAGACCTCTCTCAGCCATTATGTATATGGTCTAAACTTGTGTATCTTCAGGTGAATAATGGATTGGACTAAAGAATTATCGATGTTCGTAAAAGAAGGCAATCGCGAAAAGGTGAAAATATTGTTAGAAACAGTATACGTAGATAATTTTGAAGTGTCCAGCGAACACCTTTTACTCTTGGCAATTGACAACAATGACGTTAGTATGGTCCTGCTCCTGATGGATTCCAAATTGCATTTTAACACCAAAAACGTTCAAATCGATCCAGTACGTCATGCTACCCGAAATTCGGCTGTGAATGCAGATGTATTGGAAGCATTAATTCATTCAAATCTGGATATCAATGCTAAAGATTCGCATGGCATGAATGCTTTACATCTGGCAGCACAGTTTAATTTTGAAGAAAAGCTGGTGGTTTTATCACAGTGTCAATATCTTAGTACAAATGAAGTGGACTATTCTGGTAGGAATGCACTACATCATTTGATTGAAACTACATGCTTTGATAATATGGATCAGTTTAAAAGATGTGCCATGTTACTGATTGAGAAAGGTGTTAACATCAATGTACAAGACCAAATGGGGGAGACGCCTCTTCATAAAGTTTTCCAAAACTACTGTAATTTCATCCCTAGAATTCTGTCATTCTTCCTTCAAAATGCAAAGGATATAAATCACGAATTGAAAGACAACCAGGGATATACTGTTTTCCATATTATGGTTTCAAACACAAATGAAAGCATAAAGGAACAGACAAACTTTGCCGAATTAATTGAAAACAAGGACAAAATGATTAGAGACTTCTTGATTGGTAGATTTACTTCTGTTGAACCTGTTGTATTGGTACGCCTGTTAAACGAACTAAATAACAATGGCAATTCTGCATTTGAAACTTATGCAGACGGCGAACAATTTACAATGGAAACCATTTATTGCATGATCAAGAGAGGGGCTGATGTAAATAACAAAGATAGTCTTGGTAGCACTCCACTCATGAAAGCTGCTCTGAGAGAACGCGACGAACTTGTTGACGTTTTTTTAAGAGCAGGTGCAGATGTGAACATAACAGACATCTTTGGACAAACTGTTTTGTTTAGAGTACGAACCATACACTCATTTGAAAGTCTATGTGAATATGGCGTACAACTTAACGTGAAAGATAAGTTTGGTCGTTCTCCCCTTACAAACAACTGTTTATACACTCCAATAGGATTTCCACCTATGGGAATGACTTTGCAATCTAATTTAGCAATACATCCTCCACTGGCAACATTTTTTCTGGATCACGGCGTAGATGTAAATATTGTAGACAGATATGGATCCTCTCTGTTGCATTATGCGGCGTGGTATTCTGATTTTAATATGATACAGGTTTTGCTTGAAAACGGTGCAAGGAAAGATCTAGTCGACAGACATGGATACACGCCATATGATCTTGCCATTCATCATGGTAACTGTGAAGTATTCCAACTGTTAGAAAATGATCATAATCATGTCGTCAATATGGATACTTCAGAAAAACGAAAAATATATGAGAAGAGTGCTGCCTATGTACGGTCTATTATTCATCATCAGGAAGTAAACAATATGCAGCAAACATTGAAATGTGTTGGAATAGATGATAATGCAGAAGATTTATTACAACTGTTGATGTCGTCACCCAGAACAGGTTTTACTGATAATTTATGTGATACATCAAAAATAAAGTCTGATGTCCATGAACTCATGACCAGAATCGCTAATGTTATTGGTGAAATGGATGGACGATTCCAGTGCACTATATTTCCAACCGGAAGTTCAGCAGAAGGTTCTCAAATAGGTGATCCGGTCGAAATGGATTTTGTTTTCTGTTTATCATACTTTAACCGTCAATGCGAGGTTATTCAAACAGATGATCTGCTAGAAACTGGATTTGCTATTTTGAAATTAAAAAATTATCACAAAGGTCACGATCTGGTATCGTTCGTTGATGAAAACGATGTATTACAATCTAACATTGTTCGCGAGAGATTTCAAGATCTCACAACCAGTGCAGTGAATAGGGCGGACATTTGGTCTTCCGAGCACATTTATTTCGACGGACTTCTGGGATTTCCGGAAGACAAACCAATAATCAATCTTAGAATTCAGTGGTATGGAGCTGTTGCTAAATGCATAAGCATAAGCATCGATATTGTTCCTGCAATTCATAAACCAAACTGGATTGCGCGAGATATCGACCATAGCTTTATGGAGCTGCTTATTCCGAAGGTAAAGGAGGCAGGATTCTTTCTACTGTTTCATTTACCTCATGCGACCACTACTTTGAAGCCATGTTATGTTAGGATATCGAGTGCTCCAGCTGAGGTTGAGATTATAAAGACGATACCAGACTTGCTAAGAGAGAGTTTTTCTCTTTCTAAAATATTAAAAAGTTGGCACTTTTGTCCTCTTGTTCAATTTAGTGATGACGAAGATGACAGCTCTACTGACACAGAATCTTTTGAGGACGAAAATAATGATGACAACGATGGTTCCGATGAAAGTGGTAGTTTTAAACCAACAACAAAGAAAACTAAACAGCTACGACACTGTATAATATCCCAAATTAGTAAAGATCAAATTGGCGTAGGTGAAAAATCATCAGATAATACTAGTAACAGCGAAAATGCGTTGGAAATTCAGAAAGCAGCTGGATGGATAGTATCTCTTGATGAAACACATGTTATCAGAAAAATATTCTTACCAAAGGAAAATAAAGCTGAGCATATTGAAAAAATTTTCGGAAAATATGCAAAACAACCGTCTCCTGAAATGACTGTTGATAATCATATTGAAAGTCGCACGTTGTTTATATCAAAAGAGGATCAGCCTACAACAAGCAGGAGAAATCTGGATTGTAACGAACAAATCGCAAATATAAAAGATATTCAAAATAAAAATTTAAGTGAAAACTCAGTTTTGACAGCTTGCACGAGTTCAAAATGTGGTAAACAGCAAATTAACAGCAATAATAGCACAGGGAAAAAGTTCGAATCACAAGAAACGGGAGAAAACGGTGTCTTAAAATCTGATATCGTGTCATTACAAATGACAGACGAAAGCAATGAAACTCAGAGTGAGTATAACGTCCATTCAACTAATTTAGCAAACAAAGAAGAAATTTTAGAAAAAGTAGAAAGTTGTTCAGAATCGGAAATTTCACAAGATGAAAGTTCGTCGACGTTTGAAGATGATTTTGTTGGAGGAGATGTTGTACAAGCAAAGGACGAAATTTCAAGTTATATGCTGAAAAACTGTATATTTTATACAATCGTACTAATTCGAGAAACTAAATTAAAGGACTTGAGTCACATTAAAGTCACAACAATAATTTATGAAACCCTTTTGAAAGCCGCGAAGTCCAAACAATTACCATCATACTTTATGCCATACATTGATATTTTCTCATATGTTGATACACATATTCGCAAAATGTCTTCAAGTAGAGCAGAAAGAGAACTCAAAAAACATTGTGCAAGAATTGAAACATTTTGTAGGGTTATTCTTGGAATTCTTTCTCAAAGAAACAAGCAAAGTTATAATTAGTTTCGATGTGCTTGTCTATATGCATGTATTCACACCTTTCCAAGTAAATAGTTGTCACAGTTTTGTGTCAAGTTTTACATGTAGTCTTTACAAGTTATTTTTACAGTCCTACATCTAGTACTAGTCTATCAAGTTGTGAAGAATATTTTGTTTCTTTTCTTAAAATCAAAAAGAAGTACAAAGTTATGTAACGCGAGGGTACCCAAATTGCAACTATTTTGACAGTTTGTTCATCCTCGTTTATTTAAGAAACAGAATATAGTTTTCATTCTGTGTTTATTTTGTAAATTTATCCTTATTTGCTATACAATTACAGAAATTAAATTTTGAATCCATATTGAATCATAGAAATAATACGTTTGAACAGACCTCCTAACGATTGAAGATACTGTAATGAGGAGTACCTTAATTGCATACATTCGAAAAAAATTGAAATTTTTCACCACATTTTTGTAACAATTTGACATTAGTCCATGCTCAATATGAATTTTGTTAGAAATAGATGCCTTTGACGTATTTTAATTGCTCTTTTTTTAAATGCCAACTCCTTTTGAACGTAATTGATTGAATACTCCATCTGTTGATATATAATGTGACCACGTACTGTGTATTTTAAGTATATTAAGCTATGTTGAAACACGTGTATCCTAACAAATGATAACAATACGAATTTTTAGTCTGTAGAAAACTTATAAGATTCACGTCGCTGTTTTTCTAAATAATAGGCGCAAATCGGTTACTGACTGCAATTCGGGTACGGTGACGTTACATATCAAAAGCAAACACGCAGTACAATTCGAGAGAAGACTGATACTTCGTCCGAAATCCCCATCAATACAATCTAGGCTTGATTAAAATCAAGTGTCTACACAGACGAATTACAAACGGAATAGACAAACAGGCCGCTTCTGCACAAAAATATAAGTCTTTTTCAGACCCTTTTCCATGTTTTTACTTTATTGACGACGGTCAGCACTATTGGTTGTTTTACTTTTTACGTGAACCCCGGGGTTCTCGCCTATATATTGGTGAGTTTTGTAAGCTTCTATGGGCCACTCGGATGTCTCCGAAAACAAGATTCTCGGAACCTCTCGAAAATTTTCGATCATTTATACAGGTAGTTATCTATGTCTTTGATACGGTCCTCTATGGATAGGCTACCATGTGACATTGTATATTTTAACAATCAACGATCGGATAGTAAAAAGAAAATAAAGACTAGGTTGCATTCAAAAAATCATTTATATGTTAGAACCTATTTGCGTTTTGACAAAACATATGTGTTTTAATAATGTGAATGTTTGTTCAATATCAAATATATTAATGATAACGCAATTATACAATTAATGCTTTGAGACGGTCCCTGTACGCGTTGTGTGTGTAGTATTTAATACAACGTGCTGTTATGCATTGTGACAATAAACCTGGGAATATTTTATTAATATATAATGTCCCAGAATAAACTGATTATTTCTTAACGTTTATCACGTGATATTTTGAATTCAATCATAGCCTGGGAAAATGTCGGAAAGCATGAAGAAAATTAACAAAACGATATTACTTTTATAAATATTTATCTTAGGTCGGAAACACAGTGGTCGGAAAGCAGAAAGATAATTAAACATTTTGTTACAAAAGGATTTTTCTGTCAAAAATATTTAATTTCATTAATAGATACTACCAGACCAAGAGAATATTCATTAACATTATTAAGTTTAAACTGGGGGAAAAAATCAATCTACTAAACTCAAAATCGTTAACTTTTTTTCTAACTTTTTTTAATTTTCCCGCATCTGCGCAGAAATCGTTTCCGGTATCGTTTATCTCGGAATTTGAGTAAACTATTATGGGGATGTGCCTTATAACAATAAGCAAATCAATAAAACTAAAAATCAATACAAAAATCAACATACTAATGAAATCATATCGTTTCTTTGTTTACATTGAAAATGACGTCACAACTAAAATCCCTAACAGGACCAACATCGGAAACGTTTCCGTATTTCCTTTAAATTTCCTTTTTAACAGATTCTGGAGTTAAAATATGCTTGAACCAAAAAAGTCACCTTTCACAGGTAACACATGCCTCATATTAGAATATAATTAAAAATATATGTGCATTATGTCCAATAGGTTGAACAGTCTTACATTTATGAAAATTATATGCAACATATGAGCACCAATGACCAGGGATGCGTACAAATAAGTTAGTTTTTAAATTTTAAACGGAAGTGAATGAAAAATACTTACATGGTTTCAATTCACAAGGATTTTAAATCCGAGCATCTCACAAAAAACGAAATCAATATTTTACAATAATCATAACATAATTTAATCACTACGTTAATTATTTTATACTGTTTTAGTATGGATCTATAAGTCTCTCATTGCCATTTAATCCGGAATTTGTGTGAACGCAAACCGAGAGTGTGCGTGTGAACAGGGTTATATAAAATGTGAATGAACCAAGACGTGTTGGATAGCTGGTCAACACAATAAATACAATTTTCAAAATCTAAATCTTTGCACTATGATACGATTTTGAAAATTGTGTTCATTGTGTTGACCAGCTATCCTACACATCTTGGTTCATTTACATTATATATCACCCTGTTCACACGCACACTATCGGTTCGCGTTCACACAAATTCCGGATTAAATGGCAATGAATCCGGAGTCAAAACACTTGAGGTAGGTAGTTTGACATCCGAATTTAACTATTAAACAATAGATTTGAGCCTAGATTAATATATGTGATGACGCAAATGCGTATTCCTATCCAGAGTATCAGTGCGAATGCTTTCTATTTACTATTTCTTTCGCAAAATAATCACGTACATGCATAAATATTAATTTCACTCTATTATGTGAATTTTTGCCTTTCTTAACTAAATTCAGGATACGGCAGTAAGAGCTTGACATGTGACTTTCAAGCATGGTCATCATTACTTAAGGTATTCTGACCTCTAGCGGTTTCTCTTTTTTTTTGAGTGACTGTTCCATAATAAACTTTGACATTTTCGAAGTGCTAAGGATTTTCTACCCCAGGAATAGATTACCTTAGATGTATTCCGCAAAACTTTTGTTTCGAAATTTTGGGTCCTCAATTCCTTTCAACTTCGTATTTTATTTGGCCTTTTTTAACTTTTATATTCGAGCGTCACTGATGAGTCTTTGTAGATTGAACTCGCGTTTGGCGTGCAAAATTTTAATCCTGGTATCTTTTTACATCTACATATCTTTTTACATAAATTGGTTCTTTTGAGAGTATAATCAGGTATTCTTAATACTTCTGAAAATAAGATATTCTTCAAAACCAAGTTTTCCTGTAGAATATTTGGATTGATTCAAGTATCTTCAGGAAATCCTTAAAATTTTAGATGTTTTATGAGACCAAAATAATTGTCTGTATAAAAGAGGTACCAATGAAGCTGGTTTGTTACTCTCAAGAAAAATATACGAAACCTTCTTATAAGTTGCATGTCACTGGGTTTCACTTCACATGGAAATTGGACTTTAAATTTATCTATACAACATCTACCATGAGTACAGACCGCTTCAATAACGAGTATACGAATAATTGAAGGCATCCAGGAAACAAAATAAGAAGATATAATAGATAAAATAAATGCATCCAGGTTATAAAGCAAACTGAGTGCTTAAATGTATATTGCGATTGGTTTGTGCAATTTGCATTAGACATCCGATTTGCAGAAACTGGGATTTGCGATAGGATTATGAAAAAAGATGTATACTCCCAAGTTATACATAAAATAGTCAAGCCTTAAAATGTAAATTCAAATAGTAGCTGTATATATACAATTTTCTATTCACAACTATCCAACATTGCTTTCAACTGACTTGTGCAAGAATCTACAAACAATTACATATTTCTAATAAAGGTGTTTAACATCATCATTATCTTATTCTATTCACTGTCAATTATTTCAGTTCAAAAGCAAACAAAAATTCAGCAACAATTGGTGAAGCCAGTCAGCGATCTCGTGTTCACGTATTGCTTTTCTTTTTTTTAAAGAAAGTAACTTGTTTTATTTATTGCATATATATGCAATTTATCCAGCTGTGTTTCCACACAATATTCTATACTAGTAATTGAAGATATTGGTATCAATTTTTACTGTAGACACGATACATTCGTGGTTGAAAACGATTGACCAAATATTATATGTAATAACATTAACGATACAAAGTTACTGCACTTTTATGTGCATGCTCTCTCTTCAGTTATGCTTGAGGTATAACCTATATACAAAATGTATATGGATTTTATGATGAAAGTATAAAATTAAGAAAATGTCTTCAATAATGAGCAAAACGCATACCACGTAGCAAGTTAAAAAGGCCCCGACATAATAAAATTTGAATCAATTCAAACGAAAAAAGTTGATGTAAAAAAACCCAACAATAAACGGAAAACTAATATGATATACAGCAACAAACGACAACTATTGAATTTCAAACTAGCTGAGCTGGGACAGGTACATACAAAATATGGCGGAGTAAACATGTTTGTGGGCGCACAACCTTCCCCAAAACATCGGACAGTGGTATAACATTACAACATAAGAACTAACTGTAAAAATCAGTTAGAAATGGCTTGACTCATCAGATCGATACAAAGCACACAACAACAACAAAAATAGCAAAAAGACTAAAGACACAAAGTACCTTTTTGACAGTCCTTGCAATTACTGAAAGTAAGTTAAAAGCCAATAACAGCAAGTAATAATAATTAAATCTTTGTTTAGTAAAAAGCTGATGAAATCTATTTTTTTTTAAACATGATAGTAGTGCTTTCTCCCAAAAATACAAGTACCACAGCTATAGAACGAAAATTCTGAAAATTCTTAAAATTGGAAGTAATTCTTCATAGTACCGATCATTGTATCAAAATTTTCACAAAGATTCGTTCAAATTTAGGAAACTATTTCTGTAAATCTGGTAAATCATAATTTAATTCGTTCATCATCGACGTGAGCATAAAAATCTATAGAATAGGGTATCAGTATAATAAAGATGAACCGATTTCGAATTCATACGTTAAAAATTGTATGCTGGAACTTGTAATAGAGGAACCACTGGTTAAATCCTTGGCATATAACATAAGCTCACTCTTTTAATATTTGGACCTTTCTCTAGACAGTCTTCTCATAAAAATAGGAAAACACTGGTAACTTTTGACGCTTGAATAGTGATATATAACGAGATTACTGTTCCTCATATATGACTGACTGATCCATGACATACTTAGCATTATAGCTATCAAAAATTGTTTATAGGCTTCTATGACAAATAGGCTTTACGCTTCTGGTGAAACTTTATCTAAAGCCAAAGTGTTTGAACGTAGTACTTTAATTTAACTAAGAAATGTATAATAAGTTCTCTTTCTGCAATATTTACCTAATTCTTCTACATCTTCAAAATAGTGCCTTTTCCCCTCTCCCTTATTTTCTTCAATTTCTATCATAATTCTTTAGTTCCAACTATTATCAATGAATTTATAGAGTTATATTAGAGTAAAATATTTTCTCCAAACATTTTTTTATGTGGTTGATTGACAAAAGGAAATTATTTAAGGTGCATAGACATTTTTAGGTCTCAAGTATGTACATTTAACCAAGAAGAATATATGTTTAACACGGCGGTACAGATGTTTAACAACGATTTTTTTTATAAAAAGTACACCAGTTTATAAATGGATATATTCATTGAAAATTTGCATTTCATATTTATTTCGAATATTTGACATAATACATATACCATATACACGGTTTTGTCTACATGCATTTTTCATACATATACCTTATAAGACGTGTGTAAAAAAGTTATTTCTCTAATTTTTGTGCTATTTTCACATTTCTTGATCGGTGTGAGAAAAATATTTCTCCTCACTAGTGAAATATTTGTTCTCGTCAAATGATTGGTCGAAATTTAATTACAACGTCAGATTTTCTTGGGTTTCTTCTGAATTTCCCTATTGTGACGTTATGAAAAAAGGCGACCAAACCTGATGACGTCACATATAAAGAACACAACTTTCTGCAAATCTTTGAAAAGGATAAAAATCATTAAGAGAAACAGATTTCACCACTATAACTCGTGTATTACGATATTTCTCCACTCTCAACAGTTAAATTTTAATTATTTAAAAAGCTCGGCAAGCCTCACGCTTTAAATATTACAATTTAACTGTCTCGAGTGGAGAAATATCGTAACACACTTGTTGCAGTGGTGAAATCTATATTTCCACGCTTTACATGAGAAAAACGAAAAATTGATAAGCTGTAATTGGATCAATACATTGCAATTTTAGAATAATTATTATTACATCGAGTCCATTATACAACAGTTTTATCTTACAGGTAAAGTTTGTGTCATCCATACAGGACCATACAATTGTAAAACATTCAATCACTTGTGTAACTGATTGATCATAGATAACATGTTTAAGATTACCGGAAAACAACGATAACCTTGAATCAACATTTACGACATGTAATGGAAAATCGAAGTAAAGTAGTTCGTCATAAACTGCCACGCGTCCAAGTAAGTACACATGTAAATAATATGAACGACTTTAATAGAGGTTTTATTTGCTTTATTGATTCATGTATATTGGTAAAAACTTTCAACAGGTTGTTTGACAGACCAAACCTATAGTTGCACACTTATCATTGTCAACAGGCTGCGAAAAGGGGATGGTGGAAATGGGGGATGGGGGTTTAATAGACGTATTTACACTTGTATGCAAATTTGTCCGCCATTACGTAAAATCACATAGGTTCCCGTAAACTTTGACATCATAATTCAAAACATTTGACGTCATAATTAAAAAGTGATTGTTGTCTGACGTCAAAAGGTGATTCGGAGTAGATCTAAGGTCATTCGGAGGCAAAATATAGCTAAATACCAAAAGTGTAAATACGTTTATTTACCGTACTCTGAAAGCACGTCAGGTCTTCACTTCTTCCACCCAAAAGTGCTATACATATTGACCCCTGAAATTCCTGAAATTCCTGTTTATATAATATTGCTTTATAATTTCTTTTATGGTGACCAGGCGCGGATCTAACCATTTTGAAAAAGGGGGTTCCAACCCCCGAAACACCACGAAACGTTCAAATAATAACAAAACAAAAAAAGAATAATTTTTAAAAAAAAATTTTTTAAATCGAAAACTGAGGAGAGGGGGTGGTGGTTCCAACCCCCGGACCCCCTAGATCCGCAAATAGTGATTATGAAAAAAATGCCCTCTCCCCTACTACTTGAAAAGCCACGGTATACTATAAAGATTTTGTTCTGCTTTTTAATGTAAAATGTATAAGTCTTCGTTCATTTCCCCTTATTTAGCTCACCTGGTCAAAAGGGCCAAGTGAGATTTTTTCATCACTTTGCGTCCGTTGTTGTCCGTCTCCGTCGTCGTCCGTTAACTTTTACAAAAATATTCTCTTCTGAAACTACTAGACCAAAGTTAACCAAACTTGGCCACAAACATCATTAGGGTATCTAGTTTAAAAAATGTGTCCTTAAAGGGGCACTAGCTACGAGATATAAAAAAATTATAAAATATGATTTTTTTGTTCAATCATTAATGAAAATGGAATAGTGAAATAATAATTCGCTTTTAGCAGCCAGTATTGTCTAATTTTGTCAAAATAAGCAAATAAATATTGATGATGAATTATTCACTTGCAAGTGAATAATTCGACCTCATTGAATCCGTATTCATGAGAACTTCAATTTAACCCCTTAGATAGAGTTGGATAACGCAGGAATTGTGTGCACGTTTGATTATTTAAAGGAAAAGAATGTCAACATTGTGATTGAAAGTAAACAAAGGTAATTCATTTAATTGACTGATTCGATCCTAAAAAAAAAATCATTCTTATACAGGTAAAAATGATGATAAACATATATTTTTAATCTATAAATGAAATAGATATAGAAGAATCCAATTCCACGATTTGCGCTATCTATTTATTTCTTTATTTATGTGTGTATCCCTTATATGGGCATCGGTGGTTTTCGGGAGGTCAACTCGACAGTTAATTAGATGGCGTTTAGACTTTAAAACACACAAAACGAAGCTACATATTATCGACCCTATGCCTTGTAAATCGTTTATTTTAGATTTTTTATAATTTGGATAAATGTTTTACATTGTTATATAACATATATGAGAATTTGAGTCAAATCGGTGAACATGAATTTGACAGCTAGTGCCCCTTTAAATGACAAATTTTACCATTTTTTTCATTTTTGCCTATTATCTTGAAAACTAATATAGCAAAAATAATTAGCAAGACAAGTTCTACAAAAAAGTCTCTTTTATGAGCTATTGAAGTCTTATATGAAAAGAAAATGGGTGTTATGGGGCAAAATATTTTACCCTGTATCGTATGGAAAAAAACCAAGGAGTCCGAACATTATTAACCTCACCTAAGACAAAATCTACAACCAAGACACTACATGGAGGAAATCATCTGACGACTCCTTATTGGAGTTATTGCCCTTTAATGACAATTTTTACCAATTGTTTTGCGTTTTGTCTTATATGATGAAAATTATAATAGAGTAATAGACACGTTAAATAACAAAAATGACAGCAAGGCAAGATCTACTAACAAGTCAAATTTTGCCGATATAGTTGGTAGATTGTCACCCTCTTTGGTGTTTTGATCAAAAACGAAAGAAGATAGAGATAAACTAAAAACTAAATGATCAGCAATACAAGATTAACAAAAAAAAAAATTTTTGTCACGAATTCTATTCTCATCTACAATGTTGGAGAGTGTCCTTTGTTGAATATGCACATAGACCAAGGTGAGCGACACAGGCTCATTAGAACCTCTAGTTGTACAATGCAATGTTGCCATTCATTTCCGTGTTTACACGAAGTAATAGCCTATATAAAAATTCTGTAATTGATCATGCAATTAGAATTTCATTTGTACCTTTTTTCCCTTGTATATATATTTGACATATCAAAAAGGAACCCATTCCAGTAGCACGTCTGTGTATACCTTCATACAAGAAGAGACCCCCCTCCCTCACCTATATATCACTTTCAAATTTTCATACTTAGCCCATTTCGTCAGGTCTACAATTGTCCAAGGGAAAAAAACTTGTGTTAAAATTTTGCAATAACAGAATCAAATCGGTTATTGCCCAAAAGACTATTATGAATATTTTTATGACGGGCGCATTACATTTGCGCGCATTTTGGGATTACATTTTTTACGTTTGCGCACAGCTTTTTATTACATTTGCCGCGCGTTCATTTTACAGGTAATACAGGTAAATATAAAGATAATTGATAGTAAATATGTCGATAGGTATTAATTTTGAATACATTTATCATTTCAAATTATATAATTTTTCAAATCGAATTAAAAAAAATATATATATTAATTGATCCTGAGAAATCCAATAAACGCGTAAGACATTCATATAACTTAATTAGGAATATTGCAGAGGGAATAGTATTAGTAAGAGTAGATGCAAGTAGAAGTGAGAAAGAGAAACCAAAGTATTGATGGAACAATTCCGAAAAAAACAGACGGGAGAAGTTGACAGAATTTAGTAGAAGTTGACAGAATTCAGCTTCAAATATTTAGCACGTACCGACATGTAAATTCGGAACTTTTAAAATTCAGATTTGCTACGTTTTTAAATAGATTAGTATAATTTACCTGTGTTTTCCTGCAAAATGAATGCGCACGAATGTAATCAAAAGCTGCACGCAAACGTAATGTTTTTATGCGCAAATGTAATAGTAATGCGTGCTATTGTAAAGCAGGAACAAATCCGCTGTTACCTTCGTACTTTTTCCGTTTTGGAATTTTTAGTTTGCAGTGATATCCTACTTCTCATTGAAATAATTTTTTTTTGAATCACTACCTTTTCATTAATTTGCCCCAGAAATTGCAAAAATAGTAAACATTTAAGTCTTTCAAAAGTTATACAGAGATATATAGCTTAATCACTCAAGTGCAAAAATATCTTTTATGATGTAAGTATCATAAACATGATAAACTGGACAACAATATTAATTTTGATCCAAACTGTCATTTGAAAATGATAACGTAAATTTGATTATCCCGGATGCTTGTTAAAACCAACAACAAATTGGCAGTATTTGGCCACAGCCTTTAATACTATTTAAATTTATACATATTGTTTATAAGTGATCTCAATATAAATGTATGAATGTGCCGCAGATCGCTGGCAATTTAACTGTCAGTGGTATATCTGAAAATATGAGGTTACCGGCATATCGCTGATTATGGCAACCGTACTATCAAATATATATATAAATGACAACCACAGATTGTGGTAACTGAATATAAGATTAAAACAATTTGGATCACCGTGGGAACACAGGTGATGGATTAAAACCCTTACATTGTTCATCTGTAGTGAATGATACTATTTATAAAACGAAATGTTTTTTGATGCAGCGAATTCTGCAAATCAGAGCACATTTGTACATCATTCTATGAGGACAGTTCTTTTTACATCAATCGGAATTCTTCATATGTCTATTTCGCAAAATGCATGTAGGCGTCCAGAAATGTCAACTCAAACATCACCTGAAAAGATAACATAAACCAAAGCAGTTTCTAATTCTAATTATATTTACAAGACAGAAAAATTTGCAAAATTTTTTTATTGCATGTTCAATATCAGTTACAAATTTCTTTACTGATATTCTCAAGTATTGACGCTCTTTTCCTGCATTAAATTCACATTTCAAAGATTCGACAACATATATTTTATCTTGCTCCTTTAAATTTCAGTTTGGTGTAAGGAGTTTAGAGCTTTGGTGTAAGAAGTTTAGAGCATGACAATTAAATATGCAACATAGTTGCAAAACAATATCAGTCATTGTAATTTTCAAGTGTTTCTTCTGAGAGATGTCCTTCATTATTAGTGTATTGTTACTTCTGAAGTATCTGTTTTCTGTTCCGATGCAAAACAGTATCCATATTTGAAAATCAACACAACAATTTTTTTTTTATTATTACTTAAATGGCATGTGTACCTACAGGCACTCTGCAGAATCATCCCCTGCACAAGTCATTATAAAAATGGCCAATCACACAACTCTGTGTCCACACTTGTTATATTTACTAAATAGTCAAATTACTTGGAGGGAGGGAGGGTTTTTGGTTTTATATTTGAGTTCACTGTCTTCTGCCTTCCTCCTTGGATCTAAATTGAAAAAAGGCTTGTTACGTCAGATTTTATGGTTCAGTAACCACCAATGAGATTATGGTATACTTAAACTCACTAATAACCAAACAAAACATATATGGTACAGCGCACCGTGATAACTGATTTTAAGTACAAGACTTAAATTCTATTAGATAAAGAACCGAGCCATGACCAATTTATTATGGTTGACTAGATTCCAAATCTTAGTATATCAAAGTAGCAGTGGTTGTATTTAAGGTGAGAGGTACGTAAATGAACGCCTCTAGCGGAAAACGGGAAAATGTGCGTTCGTTATGAGAGTTATCTCCCTTACACAAGAAAAATATTTTCAAGATGTCGGAAGGTATTCCGCTTCGTCGGAAAAATGGTCAATTCGGTGGAAAAGTATTGAATGCTTCTCATCAAAATATAACAAAAAGTGTAGTAATTGTAAATGAAATGTCTTGTCCGAGTGAAACATTGCTTCCCTTCCAAGAAAATGAAAGTAATTTGGCATGGCGTGATGGTCGAAGAGTGGTTGTGTTGGGTTTTTCTAGCTGACCAACTTAAAGCTTGCAAGAACTGCTATGCACCATTGTTTCTACACAACTGTTTAAAAGAACAAAAATACGGTCTCGGAAGTATTTTGTATATACCTTGTGGTAGCTGTCCCTACACAAACTTAATAAACACTGGTAAACGGCACTGATCAGAGACTTCAAAAAAGGGAATGTTGATATGGGACGTGAATACAAAATGTAGTATGGGTAAGAATATTACAAACACTTGCATATACACACAATAACAAATCAAAGCTCACACTATAACGTTGACTTTTTTATTTTTATTTTATTTATTGAAATTCCATAGCAAATAGCCTATAGTCGAAGACTTACACTAACAGTTGCATACAAAAATTCTCTAAACAACTGTCAACACTAAGAGATATTCAACTCTCGACAAAAAAGAGGAAATACACTGTTATATGCTTAATAATGATATTCTTGATTTGATATTCGTGTTAGATAATCACTTTCTCACATAAATATAAACATTTGGATGTGTATACAAACAAAAAACCGTTGTTTACAGTGCTTTCTTTCACGTCCGCAATATGGTCTATAAATAGAAGTGGAAAGTGCTAGTACTGAGTGTGAAAAATAAAGGATTAGAGCAAATAATTTTTAATAAAAATATTGAACAAGAGTTTTAAATTGCTGCGTGACATGAAATTTGCGGAATTTCATCAGAAGGGTTAAGCAAGAGAAAAGGAAAAGAAAATTGAACGCGAATCGAAATGGGGATAGGACCTTGTGCACGGACAAACGGGAAGTAAAATGGTCTTTCAAAATGAACGAAAAATTATAAAAAAAAAAAAGTTTACACGTTGCTCTTTAGTCAATTTGAAATGAACATTGTGAATAATGAGTTTCAAGCATGAAAATACGCGAAGGAAAAATTACAAATCCACTGCTCGAAAATTATCCTTTAGGTGTAATATCACCAATGATTTTCCCCCATTAGTCTTTGTTAAATTTGCACTTTTCAAAAAATTGTGCAGAATTTATCTTAGTTTCAAATAAAGAAATACTCGGCATGAGTAAAGTTTGATCCTGTCCAGTACTATAGAAAATATTTCACATAACATTTCATTGCATATAAGAAAATAACCATCACTGGAAATTTTCACCTCTTTTTTTACCTGTGCACAAGCTTTAGTAACCATGTAACCTAAAGTTTCCAAAATATTCTATAGAAACACCAAATAAAAAAATAATGGTGCTTAGAAACACCCAAGATATATATGTTTAGGACCCGGAATTTTTTTTACTGCAATGAAATGTAGGATTAATTTCCTACAACTGTCAAATTCAAGGGAATGTTTTTTTTCATTGACGTAAACCCAACACTGATTGAAGAAATAAGTTATACATGTCGAGGGTCTCATATAATCCGTAAAAAAAATAATAATCGGTAAATAATACTTTTTTTCAGACAGGATAATTATTCCATAGGCGCTATAGCGCATTAGTTTAGAGGAACACATTATAATCAAAGAGACACCTTTATGAAGCGGTCGTTGTCTTTGTGTGACAATATTTCTATTTTGGTAGACGACGATTCTGCTGATGGAGATTTGACGTTGCGTAATCTTTTTCGGCAACGTCATGCAATTTCTATCTTTCCCGTCGGCAACACCCTTTCAACGGCTGATATATAAAAAGGGAGTTCGGTAACCATAGGAAAATTATATATCAATAGAAAGGAAAATTCTATAATAAAAACATTTAATTTTTATAGAAAAATCGTAGGAATGGTTTTAACTGCAGATTAAATTAAGCTTGAAATTTCTCATTTTTGGCGTAAATTTGACGTTATTTCTATGTACTTTATGGTGTTTACCCAACATTTTCAAATAACTGTAACTTTGAAAGTAGATCGGTTACCCACTTAAATTTTTCGATTTTTCTTTGTATTTTAAAAAGTTCTACGTGTATACAATTTCTTTAAAAAATCGCTGGACAAGCCATTTACGTACCTGTTACCTTAAACGTACTGCTTTTAACCAACATTTGTTTTCTTTCTTATTTATTTTCAAAGTTCAATAGTATATGCAACGTTTTGGCAATTATATGAGTTTCTGAAATATTATAAGCGATAGTTTATTGGTTATTATGTGTAACTGGTCAAGAGTTTGTATATTCTTAAGAAGAATTGAAATTTTGTATATGTACATGTGGAGACATGGCAGGGAATATTTGTACCTGTCGTAACCCTCTAGAGATTTTTTTATATTACAATCGATTCAACTTTGTTTCGTTTTAAAGTTTTTTTACATTTACTTCAAGTTTTAACACTACTTTTTCATAGAATCGTTGTTTAATAGTTGTTCATATCTGTCTGATATTTAAGATTAAACTGACATTACAAACTAGTCTTGGACCAATTAAAGAACGGGTGTGGGTGGAAGTTGTTTGAAATTCTTTGTTGGTTTTTAGAACAATCTTGTTTGTTGATGAATTTTAGCCTCATGATCTTTACTGTCCATATGCTTACTGGCGTGGGAGACGGCCGATGTATTGACATAACTATAAACTTTAATTAAGTAATGACGGGAAAAATTGGAATAATTTTCTTTTCAAAATTATTTCCAAACGTGAGGATAACATACCACACTATGCATGCTTAAGAGGCAAAATCATGCTGATTAGTTTAATCTTGTTTTTGGAGAAGCTTTACACAAGATATTTATTTTCATATTCAGCATTATAGATATTACACACACTTAACGTGTATGCTTGTTTATTTCAACTTACGATATCAGGGCATACAACACTTGTTTCTTTAAACAAATTGTTTAATTTCATATGTTGTACATGGCAGTTTTAATTTTATCATAAAAATTGTCAATCGGACATAAGAAAAACATCTAGGTAAAAAAAACCCACTTTTCATGCATCTGTACCTTAAAACACGAGTGAAAGTCAAAAGTAAATCCATCAAATGTGTGATAGCGGGAAACTTTCCAGTTATACAAAACATCATTTATTTTTTAGAATAAAATAATAAAAATTCTACATTTTTTGTTGAGTTTCAAGATTATTGTTTTTGAATTTTTCTTATACCTTGTGTATATAGGTATGTTTTTGTCTATTTCAAGATTCAAGATATCGAAAAAAACCAATGCCTGCATAAAGTAGTTATTCATTTAAAAAAAAAATGAACTGCTCACAGCACCAAGGTGAAAAATTACGCCTTTTTTGCAAAGAATGTGAAGATATCATATGTGTTCAGTGTTTGTTGGAGAATCATCAACAGCATAAGGTCAAAGGATTATCCGAATCACATGACATTATTCGGAGCAAGGTGAATGATTGGTGCTCAGACAATAAATTAGCAACTCAACATGATCTTGCAGAAACAAAAAAGCAATTAGAAGAAGCGATTGAAAAAAGTGTTCAAGATGAGGCGAAAATAGGAGAGGATATTCACAAGTGTGAAGTGCAGTGGAAGAACAAAATTGAGGTAGAGGTTAAGAATCTATTAGAGGCTTCAAAGGATGTCTTTGAGGAAGGCAGGAATCAGATTCATAGCTTACTGGATGAGGTTGAGTTTTGTAAAAACGAAATGGAAAATATTGTATCAGAGGACTCACTTATTAGATTATATTGTAGCTTGAAAAAATGTTCCATTAATAAAGAATGTTTAAAGTCAAAATATGAGAAAGTTACACCATTATTACAGCTGTATGCGCCGTCTGGTGACACATTGTTAGGTCGTATTGGAGAAGGTTGTTGTATGAGGAAGACAAATGATATATCTACACAAACATGTAGTCCTCATGAGCCTTTATCAGACGATAACATTATAACGGAAGTAGATAAGAAAGGTCTCTTAACCTTGATTCCACTAACAGATCTGGTAGTTCCGGTTACGAAAATTATTCCAGTAAGTACATCTGACGCATGGTTAATATCAGATAGGAAACTTTTTCGTCTAGACTTTTCTGGAATAAAGATGGCAGCTTATACTGAGGAAGTTGACGATATTGCTGTACTGAATAATGGAGATGTGCTTACTCTTAATCGAACAAAAAGCTTTATAAATCAGATCGACGCAAGAGGAAATGTAACACCCTTTACAAGTACGGATCCGTATATGCCGTTATGTATGGATTACGTCAAGTCTGACAACTCTGTTTTCGTATGGATGAGTAATAAGGATTCAAGACAGATGACAGTCTTTGAGACTACTGGAATTAAAAAGAAATCATTTACGCTGTCCACCAGTAAAAGTGAGAGTTCTTGCATGTCGGTGCACTCGAGTAACAATTTTAGCATTATATATGACGTAGAACAAACAACTGGGATAAGGAACTATGTTTATTCTTATAGCCTCGAACCAAAAACTTCGTATTCCTTCTCGGGTAAATCTGGTCAAAGCCCATATTTGCAATACGTCTGCAAAGGACTTTGTTACAATAACCACGGCAACATACTGGCAAGCGATATGCAGTTTAATACAATATATCAATTGGATGGAAAGTTACAGTTTCAAAAAATACTTCTTGGTAAAAATGATGGTCTTAGTTCACCTGCAGCGCTTGCATATAGAGAGGGTCACTTATGGATAGCTGATTCTAAAAGCTTAAGAATTTATGACTACCAAAATCTCATTTTTGCCTAGCGTTGTTTGTGTTTATGATACGAAAAACATAATTTTTCAACTGCATAATAGTTTGTTATTGACAACAGCTATGCTTTAAGGTTTATGTATTTAATTCGCTAGCTATGATACATTTTTGTCATTCAGGTCGATTTGATTTTCACATGGTAAACTCTGGACGCTTGCATATATACTGGAATATACATTGAACACATTTTGGTTCCTCAAAATGATGGTATCTGTAAAATAAAAGTAGTTTAGCTTTTTGTTTCGTTGGGTTGCTGTCTCATTTAAGAATCAGCCACATCTCTTTCTTTATATATTTGAAATTTTTTTTATGATAAAACAGTTGAAAATCCCATTATAAATGTACAATGTAATAGTCTTTAATATTTTAAAAATAAACATCAGCTGACAAAATTATTTACTGTTCACATAATTTAAGAATCATACCAAAAGAATTTTATATAAATTCATTATTGCCATTTTCCCACTTTTTGATGTTTGACTAACGCCCAGTGGCAAATATTTCATGCACAATCAGGACGAGTATAAAATGTTTTATACTGCGGCTAACACACTTCCTGTTGTGTTTATCTATCAGATATAGTAACATAGTGATATTTTGTGCAATGTCGATTTCATGTCAAGTGACCTTTTTTTCACACAATCTGGTGCTCGTTTAAAGGAGCATTAGCTAAGATTTTGACAAACATTTTAAATCTGATTCTTTTTGTTTCAAGAATTAGTAAAAGCAGAATTTTGAAATATTATTCCGTCAGTTTGACCCAAATTTGTCAAAATAAGCACACAAAACTTTGCTAATGTATTATTGACTTGCAAGTCAATAATTTAACCTCATTGGATCCGTATTCATGCGACCTTCAATTTAACCCCTTAAATAGAAATGGGTTACGCTAGATTGTACTAGGCGTGTTCAGCTATTGAAAGGAACATAATGTCAACATTGAAAGTGAAACAAGGGTGAACCATTTACTTGACTAATTCTATCCACAAAAAAACATTCTTATACATGTAGAAACGACGATTTACGTATTTTTTTAACCTATTATATGAAATCAAACAGACCTAGAAAAATCAAATTGCACATGCTCTCTATCTATTTATATTTATTCGTGTTTATATCGGTTTATATCATCGCCGGTAGTCCTTGGATGTCATCTCGATGGTTAATTAGATGGCGTCTAGACCTAAACAAACACGAAATGCTGATACATATTATCGAGTCCATGCACTGTTAATTATTCTTTTAAAAACCTTTTGTCATTTGTATATACGTTTTAGTATGTTATGAATCAAATACGAAGAAGAATTTGAGTCAAATCGGTGAACATACATTTGACTGCTAATGCCCCTTTAAGTACGGAATATAACTTTTATTTTGTGTTTACATGTTAATAACTATAATTGCAGCCATTTTAGCGACAGTATAGAATAGAAATAAATATCATTTGTTATCACATATTTGTTGCGAAAACATTGGGTTTTGCATATGCAATAACCGCAGATCTGACATTGACATTAATATTCAAGGACTATAAATTTGAACGGTTGGGGAGCTTCATTATAATGAAGTTATTTCAATGGAGGACAAACAAATGTATGATCTTACCAGACGGAATATTAAAACTCTTTCTTTTTACTTTTTAAAGCCTTTTGTATAATATGTGATAAATAGATTATAACATGTCCTTTTTCATATGGGCCCTGGTATTATCCCTCGACCCATATAAGCCCTCGGCTAGCGCCTTGGGCTAATTTGGGAGTCTCGGGATGATACCAGGGCCGATATGGAAAAGGACATGTTATAATCTATAATTATTGTATTCGGCCCTTAACTGTTTAAGGACTCAGTAGACCTCGCATTTCTCCACCTTTTAAGCCTCATAACATTGACATAATATTGTATATATAACTTTTTATATGTCAACCATTTGGTAGTCGATAACTACTATGTGTATAACAGTCACGAATAATAAATAAAGCCCCGATCACATGGTGATAATTTACATATGCATGTTATTATGCACATGTGCAGATTTGCCTGCGTACGTAAATGCAAGTATGCAATGCGTTCACATAATTTTTGTCGAGCCTGTTCTGTCGCAAAAAGCGAGACATAGGGATAGCAATCCGGCGTCGTTAAGTAACTACGTATACTTAAAGGCTTTTAATATTTCAGAAGGTAGAAAATATGGACGCTTCATACTTTTTATATATGTGCCTTATGTTGTGAAGTTACCGTTTGTCATATGTCCATTGTCCTTGACCTCATTTTCATGGTTCAGTGACTACTTGAAAAGTAAAGTTTTTTTGTAATCTTAATTATGAGTAATAGGATAACTATATTTGGTATGTGTGTACCTTGCAAGGTCTTCATGTCTGTTCGACAGTTATCACTTGACCTCGACCTCATTTCATGGATCAGTGAACAAGGTTAAGTTTTCGTGGTCAAGTTCATATCTCAGATACTATAAGCAATAGGTCTACTATATTTGGTGTATGGAATGATTGTAAGTTGTCCAACTGGAAGGTGTCATCTGACCTTGACCTCATTTTCATGGTTCAGTGGTTAAAGTCAAGTTTTTGTGTTTTGGTCTGTTTTTCTGATACTGTGCAATAGGTCAACTCTATTTGATGTATGGAAATATTTTACGATGTACATGTCAGTCTGGCAGGTTTTATTTGACCGTGACCTCATTTTTACGGTTCATTGCTCAATGTTAAGTTTTTGTGTTTTGGTCTGCTTTTCTTAAACTGTAAGCAATAGGTCAACTATATTTGGTGTATGGAATGATTGTAAGGTGAACATGTATTTCCAGCTTTGTTTATCTGACCTTGACCTCATTTTCTTTGATCATGTTAAGTTTATGTGATACGTGTAGTAAAACTTTATATTTAGGACTATTAACATAAAATCAATGGTCAGTAAAGCAGGCGAGACATTTCAGCGTTTGCACTCTTGTTATACCTGGGGTGTTTTGCATTTTATACACATTAGACATAAAAAGAATTGGTATTTGTCAAAGATGTGATATCTAATTTCAAAATGGGCAGATATGTCTAATACCAAAGGAAGAATACAACAAATGGAAGTTTTTAACGACCTTGACTGGCTATACAGCCCTTGCACGGTCGGAAGGAAGAATAGAAATGTGATCCCCTTTTATATAGTTGCAGGTATATCTATAGGTTAGTCTTGCAGAAATGATACTTCGAGAAGGTGGCGCTTTTAGATATAATGGGGTCGCATTGTGTTTGAATAGAAGTATCTGAAATGCTAAGTCCTTAAATCAAAACTGATTTTAAATTTTCATTTTTCATTTTTTTTAGTAAATGCAAATATTCATCTTCTTATATATTATGAGGCTTTTAAACTTGGGACAGGATGGGGGTCTAAACGATATAGGTTACAAATAGAGGATAACTGGTACCTATACATTTCGACATGAATGGTTCTCTTGCTGGAAAGTGCTGGACTGCAGTCTCCTAGCTTGGGACACGAAAAGTAAGAATATGAGTAATAAAATCAGATACGTTGGTTCATATTTTTTCAGCTATCCCAATATAATAAGGTTATGGGGTTATTATCCAGAAAACATTTTTTTCTGAACTGATTTCAGTCTTTTTCTAGCGACGACGACTTAGACCATGGACAATGTCTTCTGAAAAGCAGTTCTACAGTAATAGTCCGGTAACACCGTTTCAGCATTAGTTAGTATGACCTAAAACGTAAAAATCAATAGGCTTCTTCCTTTCGTATGTGATCATGTTTCCAAGGAAGTTTAGATATATGTACATATAAAGTACTTGATTTATGACCCGGAAACCATGATGACTTACAAACGGACCTGATGCAATCTGTCATCAAGTTTGAATAATGTGCATCAAGGGGTTCTGTCATAGATATAAGAAGATGTGGTATGAGTGCCAATGAGACAACTCTCCATCCAAGTCACAATTTGTAAAAGTAAACCATTATAGGTCAAAGTACGGCCTTCATTACGGAGCCTTGGCTCACACTGAACAGCAAGCTATGAAGGGCCCCAAAAAATTACTAGTGTAAAACCATTCAAACAGGAAAACCAACGGTCTAATCTATATAAAAAACGAAAAACGAGAAACACTTATGAACCACATCAACAAACGACAACCACTGAACAACAGGTTGCTGACATTAGGACAGGTGCAAACAAATGCAGCGGGTTTACACGTTTTAACAGGCGCCAACCTTCACACTAACCTGAAACAATAGTGTAACATCACAACATGGAAATACACACTATAAAATATCAATTGAAATGGCTTAACTCAATCAAAAGACGTAATGTAAACCCAAAATCAATAAAAAGGGGGGAGATGTAAAACAATATCAGAAAGACAACCATAACTTTGGACAAAATGCCGACAAATAGAATAACGTTCACAGGTAAATAAAAATAATTTTGTTATAAGATATACACGGAGTACGAAAATTTATTTACAAAATAAATAGTTTTGTTGTTCATAGTACGAGAACAGAAGTGAAAATTTATGGTCATACCAAACACTTATCAAATGTGGTATATATTATGAGACACAAATTATGAGACGAGATATAACACTAAATAAGTAAACATTTAATAACAAAATTGCATTACAAATTGTATCAACAGGTCAAATTAAAACGAAAGTACGATTTGAGAGTACTCGCATTTACTGAAATCTAGTTAAAAACCAAAATCAATTAATAATAAAAAATCATACATCTGAGACTAAAATCAACTTAAACTCATCCCAGGGATTTAGTGTTTTAACGTCATGGACAGTCAAAGAAGACACGACTTGTGCAATGCCAAAATAAAAGTATCAACAGGCAGCAGAATAGTTAACCCTTAAATAAATATGTATGATGTTATATAAAGATAAAGTAATCTCTATATAGAAAATGAACGTGGATGTGCATATTTACTATGGTTACATATTTGCATGTGTGTGTACTTGTGTTATCCATTCCAGATTTACACATACTGTATTTCTACATACGCATGTTTATTAACATATTACATATGTATATATGTACGCACTTGAACGTGTTTTAAGACGATCTTGGAGTTCGATGCCAATTAAGAAAAAGAAGACTTCAAAAGTAACAAGTAAGCCTTTAAAATAATTCCATGTACAAACATAAATGAAACTTTCTAAAAGGGGCATTAGCTGACCCTCTCAAATTCATGTTCACCGATTTGACTTAAATTCATATTTT